AGTGAGTTTTGGATTTTTAGTTCAAACTTAGTCAGAAACTGACTCTAGGAACACCTGCTCTGATACCACTTGATGGTCCCTGATAGAGGTAAAAGTCTAGAGGGGGGGGGGGGGGGTGAATAGACTTTTAAAGTTCTTTCCTATTTTTAAAGAGTTTCCCTCATAGGTATGATGATCTATAATCTTTTTGAGAGATTTAGGATCGCAGCGGAAGTTATGACCTCTTTGTGAATGGTAACTTTCTTATGAGAGGATAAGAGGGAAGGGGTATTTGTATTTAGGACAACTTATCTTTAGTGACTGAAGTGAATAGAAGAATGTTGACTCTGCTTTGAAGATCTTTCAGTGAGATCCTCTGATGGCCTTGAATCAGAGATCCTTGAGTGAGGTCCTCTGGTAACCTTGAGTCAGAGACCCTTGAGTGAGGTCCTCTGATGATTTAGAGTCAGAGACCCTTGTATGAGGTCCTCTGATGAACTTGAATCAGAGACCCTTGTGTGAGGTCCTCTGATGATCTTGAATCAGAGACTCTTGTGTGAGGTCCTCTGATGATCTTGAATCAGAGACTCTTGAGTGATGTACTCTGATGATCTCGAATCAGAGTAAATAAGATTGACACGAGATGTATCCTGGTTCAGAGGTGGTGTAATCCTCCTACATCCAGTCCCATCCTCTTTCAGATGGATTTCCACTAAAGTATTCAGCCCAATACAATTAGTGACCGTCTGGCTGTTATCACCAACTTGCTCAGACTTCAAGATGTTTCACTGAGAGTACACACCACTCCTGGTTACTCAATCCTTTAGGTTTTTCTCGATTGATCCAGTGGGGATCAAAAGGTACTCTATCCTATTCTACCACACTTAAGGACTTAGATGACGCTATCCTTATAAGTGTTTACAACAGTTTCAATATGAAACAAATTTCTAGCCTCCAACTAAAAACTAAACTTTCTGAGTGTATCAATGAGGATTTCTTTTCTAGAAGGTTTAGTGAAGCATGAGTCTAAGCAGAGAGCAGAATGTAATGAGCCCTTTCTCTTTTTGCTAGATATCTTCTTTGTGTAGTATGATTTCTCTGCTTAGTGAACTCAGGAGCTTGTTTTTCTTCTCATGCTTATGCCCGAATTTATAGGCATCTCTGGTTGATTAATCTCCTCCGTTGGTTGAGAGGATTTAATCTATTTCGTTGAGGCTTCTTGTACTTTCGTCTTCTTGTGTTGGAGCAGCTTATCTTCAGACGCAATTGGAGCAACTTGCTTTGCAGGAAATGTAAACCCATTCCTTAGACCATTTGCGCACTATTCACCATCTAGTGGGATTTTGTCTTCACAGGCAACTCTGGAGTGTCTCGTGATTATACAGCTCTTTAAGTAAAATTTGTGACTCTGGTTCTTGTGTACAAAATTAATTTGTACTGGTAGGATTTAAATATCCTTTTTAAGGTAAAGAAGAATTTACCTTATTGCATTTTATATTTCCAGTAAAATTAATTTTGTACATAAGATGTACATGTAAGATTAGTCACAATTTTACTAGTGATAATAATAAAACTGTAACCCAAAAATAAATATACTGATTGGATTTGAATATCCTGGAAAGGTAGGAATTTACCTTATTGCATTTTATATTTCCAGTATATTTGTTTTGTGACACAATTTATATATTCCTAATTTTGTCACCTTTCTTCCTTTTTGGACCATACTTCAGTTCACACAATGATCATTCAATATCGAATAGAGAATTTAAACATCAAGGGAGGATGGCATCATCAAAACTATATTTCATCAAAGTCTGAGGGGCCTAACAAAATCCCTAGCATTAAATGCGCTTCCCGCCAGAATCTGGGTTTCCCGCCTAATCCGTGGGGACGAACGTCTCCTTGGCTTGGGGCCTGCTCCTGGTGATACTTGCAAAGGGTTCTGGGCCGTTCATATTCTGGCATTTAGTAGAATTTGGTATATAGATTGGACTCGACACCACATGGTCATGGGCTTTAGGTGGCGACGTTTGTCGACCTGACCTTGGGCCCTTGGGGCGTGATCCATCATTGCTCTGGCAGGACGCCCGTTGAGATACACTATCTTGTTGGCCTGGACGTTCGTCCGAATAAGGGGGTAATGGGCCAACCCCTGCATTTATTTCATTGTAAGGGGTTGACAACTTATTATCCTTAGCATTCTAGCTTATTGTTAGCTTATTACTCGCAGCTCTTTTACTGAGGTGTAAGACAAACAGTCTTCGGCCTTAGCAAGCGTATTGTATCGGGGGTTTATTAGACATTAATAATATCCAGTCTTTTACTTGATATTCTTCCTCTTAGCCCATCTTACTTGTTGTTTGATCAGTTAATCACTCGCACATAAACAATCCACTCGAAATCTTTGGGCTTACGTGTTGAACCCAAGGGTTGAAGGAATAAACCTCAACATACTTTTATATATATTTTTTTAATTTTTTATACTTATATATACTTATGTAAACCTCTTCAAAGTATTTGTTGAAGAGAAGAAGAGAAATTGGGCAAATATCTTCAAAATGAGAGCTAGAGCATAAAACATTGTGATGAACGACTTTTTGGACCAAGAAGATAATGTTCTTCTCATGATTCGAGTATAACTTATTGTAGCGAATTCAAAATGACTCGATTCAAATTTCATGTGAATTGAAACTCAATAATCTACAAATGTTGTGAAGGCGTCATGGCCAGAATATGAAAGGATCAAGACATAGTCAAGTAATCAACCAGTAAAGTCAGATGTTGCTGATGGGATTCCTAGATGCACACCTCTCATGATTTTATCCATAACTTTTGATTGGATGATCCTTTTATTCAAGCTTTGGTTGATAGAAGACTTCATTATCTACAACTTTGGTGAAACAACCATGTCCAAGTTAGTAACGAAAAATAAGATATATTGTCCGGTGTGTGGCGCCGGTTAGGACACCACCAGTGCCGGTCTGGACACAACCGGTGTCGGTCGGATGTGAATTTCTCCAAATGTGCCACTGTAATAGATCGGGCCGGTCGTTTGACATAACTAGCGCTGGTCGAGTGTGAATTTCTCCAAGTGTGCCACTGTAAGGACCGAGCCAGTCATTTGACGTGATTGGCGTCGGTCGGACCGATTTCCTGCGAAAAATGACTACAACCGGCACCAGTCACATGCCCAACCGGTGCCGGTCATTCTGATTTCTGCACAAAACAGCAGAACATGCTGAAATATTGTGAAGAGATGTGAAGATTTGGAGGTTGAGAGCTGAAAATTTTCATTTGATCCTATTTTTTTTATTATCGTGAATAGACTAAAATATGTTAATCTTTAGTCTATATAAACCCCTGTTTCCATCGCTTAATATCACTCATTCCATAGATCGATTCTTAAATTTTATATTTTTGTTCTTGGTATTTTCTTCAAGTTCTCGAGGAGGGAAGATTATCCTCAGCCATCATCGGTGTTTAGGTATTTTTTTGTAATTCCATAGGCATTTAATTATTGTATTGTGATTAATGTGAGTATTAGAGACTAATTTCTAAGCTAAGGTTTGAGATGAACCTCTATGCATGCTAGGTGTTTGATAAGAGTTATAAACAGGGGCGGAGCCAGAAAATGTGTGAGGGGGGTCGGAATTTAATTATATACAACATCACAATGATGAATAGTTATTATACAATACTTGAGTTATATGTTTCATATGGAGCTGAGATAAATGGCAGTTTAATGAGTATTTTTTCGGTTAATGTATTGATATATGTGTAATGTATCATAATGTTCACACAACTAATGACTGAATAAGCTGTTTTATTTTTAAATTTAAAAATATAATCAACGTCACACATCAAAGTTTGCTTATTTCAAGTTAAGATGATGCTGATTTTTCCATAAGTCATACCTTTTTACTCTACATTATTGAACTTTCAGCGGGGTCAGCTGACCACCCTGACCCCTGGCTCCGCCCCTGGTTATAAATCAATAAATCGTGATTTATCCTTTATTTATACTTTGATTGTATATGACTATGGTGTACAAAATAGAAGTATGTTAGTTTAGTTTATGCTTGCAATAATTAACGTTGAGGTCTGAGTTATGAACATTAAAAGATAAACGTATATAATACCGAGAATAGAAATATATCCAGTTTTATATGGTACGAGTGTGATGTCTTGATATTCAATGTGGTTTTCAATAAATGAATGTAAGAGCTCGTTTGGTAACACTAAAATTGGCTGAATTGGCTGATTCTGCTGAAATTTATGGAAGTTCTGGCTGAAGCGGCTGTATTGGCTGATTCTGCTGACTCATGAAAAAATTGTATTTAAAATATTTGTTATTAATAAATTAAACAAAAAATTATATGAAAAAATAGCTAAAATGATCATCTACAATAATTTCAGCCAATACAGCCAGAAAAGTAACTTCAACCTTACATTTTTTGCTTATTACAAAATCCAGCGTGCGAAATCAAAAGTTACGTAATTGATGAAAAAGCTGACTAATAAGCCGGTCACCAAACGAGCTAAGTCCTGATGAGACTTACAAGGAAAACCATGTTTTCACTCCATGCTTTAATCAGAGTGAAAATAGTTACTAGCTGTTTATTGCCTAGGGCCGGCTGTATGTTTTCAATCCATTTCCCCTCTTACATAAGTATATATAAAAGTATGTTTTCAATCCATTTCCCCTCTTACATAAGTATATACTACGTATAAAAGTATGTTTTCAATCCATTTCCCCTCTTACATAAGTAGGTTTACATAAGTATATACTCCCTCCGTCCCAAAATTATCTTCATTCTTTCCTTTTCGGTCCGTCCCAAATTTATCTCCTCTTTCCTTTTTTGGCAAAGAATTTGTGGTTCATAATCATTCTTACACATTTCTCTCTCCTCTGCACAACTCTCCACCACACATTTCCCACTATCTTAATATGTGTGCCAATTCAAAAGAGGAGTTATTTATGGGACGGAGGTAGTATAAAAGTATGTTTTCAATCCATTTCCCCTCTTACATGGTTTTCATAATTGCCTAGGGCCGGCTGTATGCCTCTAGAATCTTGACTCAATTTAATTGTTATTTTTCCAACACGAGAATGGCAGAGCTGCTCTCCCTCTTCTACTTCACTGTTTTTGCTCTCTTCTTAAGCCTGTCCCATTCCGACGGTGTTCCGGACCCGAAAGTAAGTCCAACCGCAGCCCACGATGAGCTACTGGAGTATGGATTTCCTATAGGGCTTCTCCCAAAAAACGTCCGAGGCCACACTCTCAACCAGACTACCGGCGACTTCGCCGTTTTTCTTGGAGACAGTTGTCGCATCACTCTCCATCCGGACAACTACCTGGCCACCTATTCGAAGAAAATCACCGGTAAAATCGGCAAAAATCGTATCGCGGAGCTCGATGGGATCAGCGTCCGGGCTTTCTTCAAGTGGTGGGGCATAACCGGAATCAGATCCAGCGGAGAGAACTTGGTATTCGAGGTTGGAATGGTCACAGCAAAATACCCTTCAATGAATTTCGACGAGAGCCCTGCGTGCGAGGGAAAGCACCCATCATCTTGAGAGTATGTAATGTATTCTTTTCCTTCATCAATTTGCACTCTTCTCCAACCTCATTTTGCTTGATGACATTTCAATTTGATTTCCAATTCAATCGTTTCTTTGCATGCTCTAGAGCTGGGCGTATCTTATCATTCTTATGTTCATCTGATAGTGACCTCTTTCTCCTCGAGAAGTTGAGATATTCATCCAATTTGTTAGAACTTTTAAGTCAATCCCAACTTCTTAACAATCAAGTCTTTTCTCACGTTCCTTAATGCCTTTTTTAGTGTTCATCAAATCATCAAACTTCAATTGCTGTTTTTGGGGTTGACCGTTTCTAGAATTTAGTTGTTAATTGTGTTGAAGTTGAATGCTTCATTTGTTACAAGCTGTCACTTCTTGGGAGGAAAATTAATTTTATACGTGAGTATTTTTATGTCTGTTATCATAAAAATAACTTTTTCCAGTCTAGATTGAGCATGTAACTTGACCTAAACTGAATTTTCTATCTAGTAGATGAAAGACTATGGGGATGCATAGCAATTAGCCAATAAAGTATGTGACACACATATGTCGTGCCTCATTCATGATGAGTTATGTGGCTGAATCTATGGCTAATCCTGCTGAATTTTTTAAAAAGGAACAACCTTCGGTAAAATCCATTTCCCCAAATGAGTAAGCCAAATCTTTTATTGGCTACCAAATGAGCTCATGATAAACTATCTCAAGAACAACATGCCAATTTCCCGAATTCACATTCACGTACGGACATACCTAACAATCTATGTATGGCCACAATGCTTGTAAGGAAAGCTGGAATAATCTACTAAAATGTCTTTGTTGATCATAGTATCATAGTTGAATATTTGAGATCCCTTTCTAGTTGAAGAAACAAACTTAGCTTTATCAGTAGTACTATAGTTGTCTCATGACGTTTATTGAAAATTAAGATTTCCTATGTGGTTGCTTAGTAAAAGGAATTGAATGATGACCACTTAACCATGAATAAACAGCTAGTAACTCTATACAGGTACCAAACTATGGCAAAAAGTACATGATGGATAATTGGCTACAATGTAAGTAACATGTATATGTGGAAAGTACTAAATGAGACTCCAGAGCAGCTGAACAAGAGCAATGATGTAATAGAACTCCATTAAAGCCAAATCTTTCACATACCCCATGGCTTTTGTCTATGATAAACTCCTCTGGCTGAACAGCTGATGAGTGATGACCTAGAGATCTTCACATATCTTAACCGTCGGATTACAGATGGTTGTAGTAAACACATGCATGTAATGCCTATCCCATTGCAACAAGTTAAGCTTTAATCTGGTCTATTTCTCGTTTGGAAAGAAGACTGTTACTATGTAGTGCCTATAGACACCCAAACTATTTTGAGGTTTCATTATAGAATTTCCAGAATACATAAATGAACTCATAAAAGCTAGTAGTATAAAACCTTGGGCAAAAATAAAAAACAATCATCTATAAAGCTACACAAGTACTGGAATATGAACATATTACGCATACCATGATGCCCTATTTTGTTACCATTGAAAAAACTGAACAAGTGAACATAACTTATTACGATTGAGAGTTTGAGAACTGTAAGAGTTTGTACACTCTCTTACCTCATTTGTTAGTTGTGTACAATGATACAATCATAGAGTAGGGAACGGCCACACTCCACTTTGCAAGAGTGTGTAATTCGATACACTAAAATGACATTGAGAGGGCATCCAAGAACATATGAGTACAAAACATCATATGATGCTAAAAGGGAAAAATACAAAAACATCATATGCTGCTAAAAAGGAAAATTTTTGACTTCTCTAATTTTAGGACCATAGAAGGTGGGAATCACTGGCAGGCAATCATCTTTAGTTTGACCCTTGAGAAAATGTTTCTCTCCTCTCCAAGTTGGAGATGTATCAGATGTTTCAATGTTCAAAGGGGATCTGTCAAATAAAATACACTATTAATGAAATTTCAGTGAGGGGTATTTTGTTCAACCCCAGGGAGGGAGGGTTATGTGGATTGCAGGTGTGATTTTTTGACATTTATATTAAGTGCCTGTTTGGTGACACTGAAATAGGCTGAATTGGCTGATTCTGGTGAAATTTATGAAGTTCTGGCTGAAGTGGCTGAAATGACTGACTCTCTTGATTTATGAAAAAAATTATGTTTAAAATATTTTTTGTTAGTAAAAAAGAAAAAATTATATGAAAAAGTAGCTAAATTGGTAGTCTACACTAACTTTAACCAATATAGCCAAAAAAGAAATTCTAACCTTTTTAGGAAAAATTGATAGTAATAATCCCAACTATTGGCGGTCCGCCTATAATAATTCCAACTATCGATTATTTCAGAATAATCCCAACTTTATGGACCTTCCGCCAATAATGGTCCCTATCAATAAATTGTTGTAGTTTCTAAAGTGGATGAGAAGAGATATAACAAGTAATCCCTATAAATAATCCCAACTTGTAATTTTTACGCTTAATTTCTATTTAAAATTCACTTTTTATAGGAGGTAATATTTGGTCATGGACCATTATTGGCGGACGGTCCATATAGTTGGGATTATACAAAAATAATCAATAGTTGGGATTATTATCGGTGGACCAGCAATAGTTGGGATTATTATTTTCAATTTTTCCTACTTTTTATTATTATTATACAATTCAGCGAAATTAAAAGTTATGTGTTTGATGAAAAAGTTGGTTGAAAAGCCTGATAAGTTGAAAAACATGATCACCAAACAAGCTCTAATATTACAAAGTAGTCTGGATTGCATATTCAGAGCCCCATTTTCCAAACTACGTACCACATGGTCCAAATAGTCTAAACAGAGTACAATGCTAGACTTTTTATAAGGCGTACAATGTTTATAAGGCTACACTTTTAATCACAACGTCAACATTTAGATGTCTTTTTGACATTGTGGAGAAAAACTTACCAAAATTGAATAACATCATTCAAATAAGGAGAAAGGTAATTTATTTGCTAATATTTATGTGGCTATCTTTCATATCACATGTGCACCGTGCACATTTAGCATTGGAGATACTCTAAATCTCTAACAATGTACATAGTATCATTAACTCATTAACAATGTTCACTAATACACATATATATGTGACTAACGTTTGGTCGCGTAAGGCGTGAAAACTAGTGCCCACTAAGAGACTCTCATGGAAAGCAGACAATCTTAACAGGACAAAGGAAGTACTACTTTTATCACTAAATATAATATCAGACAAACTTAAAGAGACGGATAAAAATTTAAAATGGGACAAATATAAGAGATAGAGTAGCACATATGGCAATAAAATTTTCATAAACTATGTCATATAAAAATAAGAGGTACTCGCTGTGAAAAACATAATTTCAAATCTTTGTAAATAAATCAACATAAAAAAATCTTTGTAAATAAAGGTGTAGCCTACAGTTTTTCATGGATAAAATCGATAAATGTAAACATGAGGTAAATCGTAGCTTACGATAAACTGAGTCAAAGGCTCTTTGTCTCTTTGTTAAGGATTTAGATTATGTTCAGAGATAACTCCCATGTGGCCTTTTATGAATATACCTTCAATTTCAGCAACCTGAAGGGCTCGTCGCCTGAATTCCGATTAACAAAAAACTCCCAAGTCACCGTCTCTGAATATTTCTTCAATTCCAGCAATCTAATCTAAATCTAATTGGAGGTTTTGAGGTTAACGACGTACAAGGGTAAAAAAGCAAGAGAAAAAGTAAAGTCTTACTTTTTAAGAGTAATGTACCATTTCTTATGCATATGATGTATTGACAAAAATGAAGGGTACCAACCTTTATTTACAAGTATAATGTTGTAAGATGTAAGATAATGTTGTTAGATATGTATATATATAGGTGTACATAGGGCTGGACTCGGGCCGGTTCGGGCCCGGTTCGGGCCTGGGCCCGGCCGGGCCTCGGGCCAGGAAAGGGGAGGCCCGAGCCCGAACCGCCGGTGGCCGGTTCCGGGCCAAACCGGGCCGAACCGGCCCAATTTTTTTTTTTTTGTTCTCCTATTTAATCCCCTACCCCTCCCCCTCAACCCCAAACCATCCCAAACCACCTCAAATGGCCCAAAATACCTAATCCAACCTAAAACTTAAAAAAATTTCAAAAAAAAAAAAATTAAAATCCGGCCCGGACCGGGCCCGAACCGGCCGGGCCGGTTCACCAAAACCTGGGCCCGAGCTCGGACCGCCCAGCACCCGGGCCGGGCCAAACCGAACCGGTGGACCCACCGGGCCACGGGCCGGGCCGGGCCAAACAGTGACCGGGCCGGTTCGGTCCCGGGTCGGGCCGCCCGGCCCGAGTCCAGCCCTAGGTGTACATTTGTATGCGTTTGTTATGTACTCCCTTTGTCCCACAAAACTTGGATAAAGTTAACTTGTTCGTGGAATAGTAAAGTAAAATATTTGATTGCGATTTGTGTAGAGGAAAAGAAATAACTTGAAACACATATTTGTTACTTTAAGTGGAAATAACAAAGTCTTTTGGGACGACTAAATAAGGAAAGATGACAAAGTTTTATGGGTTAGAGAGAGTATAATATAATTATATATATAGTAAGGTAGACCTAAAATTTACAATTTTAGGCCTCTTTTATTTGATGTGCTTCCAGGTTGAATTTTTTAATGAAATTTTGTGAGCATGTTTTCTATGAAGTGTAGACTATGTACACTAATTTTCAAGTTAAAATTCAATTGAGAAGTCAGATAAATAAATTATTAAAAATTGCGCAATTTATATATACTTCGTATATAAAATGCAATTTTTTCAATTATTTATTTAAATGATTTGCCGATTGAGTTTTAAGCTGAAATTTTGTGGAGGTAATCTACGCATCATGAAGAGGATGTTCACGACATTTTTTCAAAAATTCCATCTAGAAGTCCCTTCAATAGACAAGTTCGGATAGTGGTTCCCGTCAAAACTTCATGAGGTGATCTTTTATATAGTATTCATGTGTGTGTGGTTATTTATAGTATTCATGTGTGTGTATGTAGTGGGGGACGGGTGTGGATGTGGTGGGTATAGCATTCCCATCACCCGCCCCATATTTTGGCGGTGGAAAATATCTCACCCACCCAATATTTTGGGGTAGGGGAATATCTCACATATCCCCATCCCACCCCTCCCCAAACCCCATGTCATCCTTTCCCTTTAGGCCCATTCTCATTGTCGTCCTTAGACTAAAGAGTTACAACATCATGAAATGAATGGTACTTATGCCAGTCTATTTTCCCGTATGTTGCTGTTTGGCTGGAGAGTCCACATATGTTGACCCTCTACATTTCTATGATCATTCCCGCAGGCAATTCATGTGGTTCTCAATTTGCCATTCAAATATATTTCTGTGTCCTGGGTGTGGAATGTGCTGATAAGTCAGACATGTAATGTAACTAATGGATCTAGCTTCCTGCGGTAGTATATTCTCAGCGACAAATTATGTATAACTTTAATGTTTTTATTATGTAATCAGTGACTTATGCAGGTTCAATACTTGTATGCTAAAACAACTATATATATAGACATGGTGTGATTCCATTAAAAAGAGTGTTTTTCGGAAAAGTTTGAGCGTCGCCGCATATATTAGCACACATGGTGCGATTCCAATAAAAAAGGAAACATAAAAAACCTTACTTTCATGTTGTTGTCATGAGATACTATGTGCATGATATACATGATGCCTTGTATAATTGGATTATACAATGGTTGTTGACACTATTGGTGGGTCAGAGTCATGACATAGGTAATGGAGCAGGTAACAAGGTGCCGGGCCGCGCTGTTTCTCGTAAAAACAAAATGGTTATTGTCTGCCCTATGTCAATTACCCATTGAATGCAGTGTTGTTTGGTTTGACACGCTGGTTTTGTGCGTATATCCATCAAATTGGTCACAATTGTCATTCACACCAACAAAACAATTTTTTTAAGAGGAATAATAAAATAGACTATTTGAATTGATTTTACTTGAAAAAAGTTAGCTATATGATGCCAGATGCCGGAACTTTTAAAATTAAGAATGTGTCACCAAAGCTTATGGTTTGTTTACAATTACAGATGGTCTATTTTTTTTTCCAATGGATCACGTTAAGTCTTTTCTCGTCCCATGAAAGTAATGGAAGAATATCATCTTGACAAGTGGGAGTAGTTCAAGTTCACTAGCTGTCGCCTCTCATACTTAAGATCCTTTAGCCCGTGCACTAGCTCCCACACTTGAGATTCTCTAGTCCTTCAGGTTTGCTTCAGTGATTGCACTATCATTATTTTGTATTACCTTGTTGGGAACCGATAGTGTTTAACCAATCAATGTTGTTTCTTCTAAAAGCTATGTTGGAAATCTAAGGACATGCACAATCTATAAATCAAGTGAGATTCCTCATGCACGATGGTGCATAGTTAGTGCCTTGGTGGTGCATGGGAACCTAATTGAGTGTTTAAGCGACTCAAATTTATATCACTCAAGAATTTAGAGTTTATATCACTCAAGAATTTAGAGTGGGTTATTAGCAGCCTAGGATTAATTCGGTGAATTCGAGATTACAAGTTGCTAACAAAAATGAAACAATCTTATCTTTACGTCGGAAAACAACACTGAAGACTGAAGAGACATTGGAAAAGGACAGTTCGTATACCTACAATGGGAGTACAGTGAGCGCTGTACATGCCTTTGCTCGCTGTTGCTATCAATTTTCTAGTTTCTACCCTTAATAGTTAATACCCATTATCTAATTAATATTAATATAAATAATTGATCCTTAGTTCTATTGCATAACTGGGTTAGCCCGTTAGTATCGAGGCAGACCAGTGGTGGCAGCGGCATCTAACTGGTGGATCTCGGTGGCTAGTGGCCGACAACAGTTTTGCATGCAACAACTCCTACAGGGCTATCCTTATCCAAATTTACAATAATACTATTTGGGGAATGTTAATAATCTTCTCTTATTTTTGCACTTCTTCCATGTTTTACTCCTATTTAAGGAATTATCTCAGAAAGTGTAAGGTTAACTAAGTATTTTAAAAGGGAAGACTTACTAAACAAAAGAATACATGACGCAATTAGTTTTTCTTAAGTTTCAAACAGAAAAGTGTAACAAACAAAAAATACGGAATGAATCTTAGTTTTTCGTAAGTGTAACAAACAAAAGAATAAGGAAAGAATATTAGGGCCTGTTTACTAACAGAGATATTTTCCTGTTTTCTACTTCTGTTTTTCGTTCTCCAATTTTCTGTTTTTATTTTTCAGTTTTTCTATCTCCAATTTTTTGTTTCTATTTTTTAGTTTTCCATTTTCAAATCTTAAAACATGTTCATCATTTTTTTCATCCAGTTCTCTAATTCCACACCCTTGACCCCTACCCTTACCACGATCTTACACTCTACCCATACTCCCCCAAAACCCTTCATACCCACCCATACCTACTCGTAGGGGTCGGGGTAGGGAAGTTATGGGTGGGGGTGGGGTAAGGGGTATGGTCGGGGTGGGGTGGTAAGGTCTAGGGTAGGGGGTTGGGTAGGGGTAGTTGGTGGGTTAGGGTCGTGGTTAGGGGTAAGGGTTGGGTAGTGGGTAAGGTTTGGGGTAAGGTAGAGGTAGGGTATGGAGTTGGGATAGGATGGCGGTAGGGTGGGGTCGGGACCAGGGTGGGGATGAGGTAGGGAAGGGGTAGGGGGGTGGGGGGTAAGATGGAGGTAAGGGTGGGGGGTAGTGGGTAGGGTTGGGGTAAGATAGGGGTAGTGGGATAGGATGGCGATAGGGTGGGCCCAGGATCTTGGTGGGGCCGAGGTAGGGGAAGGGTAGGGTGAGGGGTAGGATGGTGGTCGGATGACGGAAGGGTGGGGGTAGGATGGCGGTACGAGGGTGGGGGTAGGATGGTGGTGGGGCCGAGGTAGGGGCATGTAGTAAGGGGTATGAGGTAATATACGGGTGGGGGTAGGGCATTGTGGGTCGGGGTGGGGTTGAGGTGGTAGGGGTGGCGGTAGGGTAGGGTGGATCGGGGTGGGGCCGGGGTAGGGGGAGGGTAGGGTGGGGGGGTAGGATGGTGGTAGGATGGCGGAAGGGTGGGGGTAGGATGGTGGTATGACGGTGGGGTAGGATGGCGGTGGGGCCGAGGTAGGGGCATGTGGTAAGGGGTAAGGGGTAATATACGGGTGGGGGTAGGGTAGGGTGGGGTCGAGGTGGTAGGGGGTGGTGGTAGGGTAGGGTGGATCGGGGTGGGGCCGGGGTGGGGTAGGGTCATTATAGGGAAAAATGGGTATGCGGGGTGGGGTTGGGTGGGTAAGGTAGGGGTAAGGTACGAGGATGGAGGTACCGGAATGGAATCGACATCGGAGCGGGACCGGACCCACCACTAAGTGTAATTATGCAAATTCATTGCAGCGGCACTGTAGCATCTGCATTTTCCAGATTTGGAAAACTAGTAAAAGTCACTTCTCCAAATCATTATGGAAAAGAGAGACATGTCTCATTTTTTCCGTTTTGGAAAACGATTTGATAAACGCGTTTTTCTTTTTTCCTTTCTCCAGTTTTCCAGGATTTTCTTTGGTAAACACGTTTCCTGTTTTTTGTTTTCCAATTTTCCAGTTTTCTGGAAAACTGGAAAATATCTCTATTAGTAAACAGACCCTTAGCTTCCTATTAAACACTTACTATCATTTATTAACCATGTTTGTTATGGTGTATGTTTCCTTTTATATTTAAACATATTAGGATGAAAACAATATATGAATAATTTAGTAAGAGATCATTTAACAAATATGATTTATGTAAAAATCACAAACGTTGTTTATAGAAAGAAAATTAAAAAAGCAGTTTCATAAGTACAGAATTAGTTTTCACAACCTAACTATGTTAAATAATGTCACAACAAATACTTTATTTATTTAGTAATCCTTAGACATTTATATATTACAAATATAATGTCTAAATATTCTTCATACACTTCTTTGCATATTCTAGAGTATTTTAAATTTATAAGTATGCTTATTGCGTTTATATATTAATGTGAGCTTTTGTGTTTATTAGTAAGCTTGTTGTGTTTGTTTGTGTGTGTCAGTGTGTGTGTGTTTGCGAAAGTAGTTTTTTACGAATGTGAAAAAATCCTATTAAACATTCATTATCATTTATTAACCATATTTGTTATGGTATATGCCTCTAAAATAAACATTCATTATCATTTATAGTACATATATAACGTCTAGATTGGACGTCTACGTATATATCACACGTGTTCCTTACAATATGTGTTTATATTTCAGATATTTTATGGACGCACTTGAATTACATATCTTGTAAAATTGGAAGAGTTGAAAAATTACATATTTTGTGAAATTGAATTGAAAGATTTGAAGAATTACGTGTCTTGAAAGTTTACTCTTACTTTATGTTAGATCAAGCAAAAAGTTGGTAAAAAGTAAGAGTAGTTGTGAGTTTGTGACTTTTGGAATAAAATGGTTTCCTTTTACGAAAATTGAAAGTTCTTTTTGGAACATTCATAAAAGGAAAGTGAGAACTTTTTCGGGACAGAGGTAATATATGGTAGGGAATGAAATACAATATGTAATGTTCCATATTTCAAATCATATTATATTTATGGAATGAAATAGAATATGGAATGTAAAATTATGACATTAAATCATCTCATCAAAACAAAATCTTTTTTTAAGTGTGAAATGTATTGAACATGTGATGAAAAGTGTTTTGTACTTAATATCAATTATATCATTCATCAATTGTACTTAATAACAATTAAATAATTGATAAATTGTCCTCAATAGCAATTATTCCATACTAAAGGTTCTACTTTATTTATTTATTTATTTTGAGAAAGTTCTACTTTATTTATAAGTAGATGACACGTTTATTTCTTTGAAATAACTACATCATTCTCTTTTGAGATATATCATCTCTTACAACAAAAAATTGTAGCAATAGAAGAGAAGCCTAGTTTTTGTTTCTGCAAGGATGACCACCGTGACAAAGTTAAATTTGTTATTACTAGAGTACCACCGCTGCTCACCGCCGTTGAGGAGCTGCTTTCTAGGGAATATAGATGTCTGTAGTCCATACATCGTGAAGGATTTAGGTCGGATCGGGCTGAAACCATGCAGGGCGTTTAGGTCACAGAATGGAAGTGAAGAAGTTGGATTTGAGAAGAAAATTAAGTATTGGTGGGAATCCCAAAAAGGTATTAATGATCTGGTCAGGCGTTTCAGGTTTGCTCTTCGGAGCGGCTCTAAGCCCAGATTAAGGTCAGATGTTAAACTTAGGGAAGCTTTGGAGAAATTGGAGGAGAACTTATTCTTGGTATGTAATAACCAACCAATTGTGGATTATTTTACTTATACCATTATATGGTGTATATTTCTTATCAATTTTATGCTCCGTATTTGTGTTCTGTTTTTCTGGCTTAACCCTGGAGTTAGGATATTTCACTTGTAGTCTTGTACTGAAATTTCCAGGGTGTCTTTTTATGTCTTGTGTGTGTTAAGTATGTGTATACTAATTTACTATTGTCTAACCTATGTTATACACTTATACGGAGTACTAATGTCTAAACATAGTTTGGTGACTTGGTCTTGGTTCTAGTTTGTTTATGTCTCTTTATATATGGTTCATATAAGGTCTCATAGGTCTGGTCAGAGACCAAAACAAATCCATGTGAAGACATCTTTACTGGTTTTGTGTTATTTCAAGTCAACGCTAGTAGGGAAATCTAGTTTTATTTTTATTTTTCCTAAGCAACCATTGCAAATAATTCTTGAAAAAAGACACTTAAGCATTACTAAACCTTCAATATCCAAGTAGTTCCACATTACTCTTAAAATTATTTTCATTGTATTTAGAAGGTGACACGTAGATGAAGTCACCACTTAACTTGTAGTATAGACCGGAAAAACACTTAGGTTAGGGTATGTTTGAGGGTTAGGTTCTGGAAGGGTGGGGGAGGTTTATGACCTTCTGTTTTTTGTTTGGGAGTAAAAGTATGGAAGGGATGGTTCTGAACTCTTCTTATAACCTTCAAAACTTCAAATACTTAATGTTGAAGTTCCCCAAATTGGGTTTTATGAAGGATAACTAATAAAATGACAACCTTAGCTCAATTTAAAATGAATATAGCACTATATCTCAAACTATTTGAATGCGCCATACATCTTTAGTGATTTTAATTGCATTTTCTCCATAGCTCCCTATTTTTAAATTTGAACTACCAAACAAGAAGGATTTCCTTCACTTCCCCTCCTACAGCTAACCTTCAAATCCTTCCCTTCCTCTTCCCCCCAAATTCTCAAACATACCCTAGAGAAGTTTTATTCAAAAGTATATACATGTTTGGATGGACGGTTTTGGAGGACTTTGGAGAGGAATGTCTTGGAAAATTTGATGTTTGGATGCCTAGGAGGGGGTGGGGGAATGAGGAGTGGGATTGGAATGATAGGTCGTGCTTGGTATGTACTCCAAACCCATCTCATAACCCTATTCTTTCGAGCCCAGCCACATTCCTTTAAATTAACAAGCATACCCTAAGCTTTCTAAAACCTTTGTCTCTAAACTCCTCCAAAACCCTCCATCTAAACAAACCAAAAGTCTCATGTTCAAGAGTTAATTTGTACATACAAGTGTTGATTAGTGAGGGAGCAGCGCTAAGTCAGTTGCCTTGGCTAAAGGGATACCGTATATCGGTATATAATGTCCCTTCGCGTTGGTAGTAGATGCGTTTTACCATTAGATCATTGTGTCTTGACGAAGCTGTCTTTGAATTTTTATGTTCATATGCCTATATTTAGATATTAATTGTATAGTGTATCTTTGTCAATCTACACTTTTCCAACATAAGAACACATTCTCCTCACCTACTCAATTGGACAGTGGGCTCTTTACGTTGGGAGATTTATGGTAACGATGATGAGTACTGGAGCCATATTGTTTATAGGATTTCAATTGTCAGGTTAGCTCATTAATGCACCATATTTTAAATAAAAGAGGTCTTTACTAATTTTATTCACATATGGTGTAATTGTGCATCCTGTTTTAAGTTACGAATTCCTAAGCTGCAAATAGAATTAACGGATGCAACTTTTCTTCCTTAGGTGGGGATGAACAGATGATTGAAGTGATATGGTATAGCTGGCTCGGAGGAATCATTATTGGGACAATGGTTGGGTGCAATATGGTATTGGAGGAAGCCAGTCGAGCTGGTTCGCGAAATGTTGTAATAACCGGAAGGTACTGTTTTATATATATTCTCCTGAATAGAAAATTTTGGTCAAATGCTATGTACCTGGTTCTTTGTGTCACAGGGGTGAAACTAAAGGGGTAATTTTGGGGATTTTTCTTCTTAGGAATTTTTGAAGTTTTCCTTCTCCTTGATTTTCTTCATGATTGTTTCTTTGATATTTTATTAGTAGAACAAACCCCCGTTTTATAATAGGGATTACATGTATGGAAATGCCTATAACAAGACATGTCTTAGCAAATCACTAAAACAAGGAAAGAGAAATCCTAGCAAACGACTTCCTGAAACAAATTAACTAATCAAGTTATTAAAATCAATTTAGAATAAAATTAATCGTCTATGACTCCTCATTATTCTACTTGGTTGCTCTTTTATCTTTCCATATACTACGTATTATATTGTAGCATGCATTACTACACCCCTCCTGGAAAAGCAAGCTTGAAAACTTGAACCTAGCATTGAATGACTCCACCATTAAAAAGTGTCAGTGGTCCTTGTATTCTTGAGATGAATTTAATGTTTGTCTTAGATATAGACTAAACATCCATTAAAAGTTCTCTTTAAAGACAATGGTAAACTAGGATTGTTTTAGTGGACCGAACTGGAACTGGAAAGACCGAGTAGTGTGAGATTTTGGAAAGTGTGTAAGGCAGGGTAGTCTGCATTACCAGTGTTGCAGACAGCGTTGGCATTAGGAGTTGCAGTGGTTGGGGGAGGACTTTAGCGGATGAAGGGTGTACTCTTAGGAGTGATATTATGAGACTACGACTTCCAAGAATTCCACTGATTAGGAGAATTGGTCAAGGTTAGAAAGTGTCCTGTAGTGGTTGTTGTGCTAGTTGTACTGTTTCACCTTCTGCACTGCATTTTGCAGATTGTGAAGGTGTCCTCAGCTCATCAACTCGTGCAGTTCCTTGTGCGTCTCTGAGAGGAGTGTGTACTCATCAAGGTTGTCACGGCATCGTCTAGTCGCCGACTAGGTGTCCTGGCGATGGTGAAGGGTCGACAAAGGAGATTGACTCGCCTGAAGAAGATAAGACTCCTCTGACGTCGTTCATGCGCAATCCAGGCGTCGCTCCAAGGGAGATTAAAATCTCAGTGAATTTGTTTTTAGAAGCCATCCCAAAACCAAAGCCTTCTGAAAGTCTGAAATTTGAAGGACAATCGTCGACTCTCAAACACATAGGCAAATCGATGACTGTGCTGCGTGCCTTTGTTTCAAGGCTATGTTGTAAGAACCAGACTGGACCAGGCAGGTTGACTGGGAACTGGCCAGCCAGGCCTTGCAACCGGTCTGGTAGACATTAGACCAGCTATATTGGTTAAATGCAGATTTAACTGATGACCCATTGGTACCCAGAATGGACGCGGGGAAACCTGAACCCGGGAAAATCGGATAACCCGGATCCTAAGATAATATGAAGCTCTACAAAAACATTTCACCCGTGTGGGATTCGAAGTCATGTGGGGCGAGTGGCGTGCAGGTACTTAGGAGACTTAGGAGATGTTCTGTTTATTACTTAGCTAATTTTATACTTTACGTATTCAACATGTCTAAGCTCTTATATCATTATAAAATAGGAAAAATATTTTAAATTCCCCAAAGTTTAGAGGGGTGTGAGCCTGTGAGGTAAGCACTCCAAACTTGCATATGTAATATATACTCCCTCCGGTTTTATTTAATCTTCACACTTTGACTTCACACAAAATAAGGAAAGAAATTTGATTTTACTGTAGAGTACACTGTTGAGGCACTGTGTGACACTGTTTGGCACTGTAGAGACACTGTTTGGCACTGTTGAGACACTGTTTGTCACTGTTTAGCACTGTTTTGATGTAGATTTCTTTGCCAAAAAAGGAAATAAGGAAGTGTGAAGTTTATTTTAGACCGTCCCAAAAAGGAAAATGTGAAGTTTATTAAAAACCGGAGGGAGTATATATATATAGAGAGCTCTTCTCATCAGGCCGGCCTGACGGGCTGCTGCCCGTTTGGGCACCTTCCCGGTGGAATTTTTTGATGAAATTTTTTGAGCATGTTCCTCATCAAGTCTAGTTTGTCCATACCAAATTTCAGCTCAAAATTCAATCGGGAAGGTCGTCAAATGATTTTTGCAAGTTAACTGGTCCGGATTGTACATATTCCGGACCAGTTAACTTGCAAAAATCATTTGACGACCTTCCCGATTGAATTTTGAGCTGAAATTTGGTATGGACAAACTAGACTTGATGAGGAACATGCTCAAAAAATTTCATCAAAAAATTCCACCAGGAAGGTGCCCAAACGGGCTCGGCCGGACGGGGCAGCCTGTCAGGCCGGCCTGACATGAAGTTTCATCTATATATATATATATATATATATATATATATATATATATATATCCCGAACTTCATATGAAAAGTGATCTTAGCACCATGACCATATGCTTTTTCTTTCACAAATGTAATTTTATGTTGTTGAGTATATAAATTAAAATACAATAAGACTTTATGATGATGAAGTTAACATTCGAAGCTTCTATTTGTTAAATAAATAATATTACCTCTGGTCACATAAAATGTACTCAGACTTTCTTCGTTTTTAATAGTTGAAACTTGAAACAACTTAGCTTTTACCCTATTTACATACTCTACTTTACCTTTTACGTTATTCACACACTCTATTTTGGTTTTATTTTACTTATTAATGGATTAAACAATTGTCCTAATAACATATTATATAATTTGTCCCAAATCAAAATATAAAATTTGATGTTTATAATTGTATACTAATGTCAATAAAATATGTTAATGGTCAAAGCCGTTGTTTGCAAATATCAAAATAAAAGTGTTGCAACTATATGGACCGGAGGTAAAAGTATTTTGCAAGTAAAAAATGCCTAGTGTATTTAAATTATGTATTTAATACCATAAATTTACATTTGTGAAAGAAAAAATATATGGTCATGTTGCTAAGGTAACTTATTTTTAAAAGTTTGTGGTATTTAAATTACATATACAAGTTTGGGATATTTATCAAAGTTTGGGTATTTATAGAGTTATTTCTCCCTTATTAAATATTCATTAATAATCACTGTGGTTTATTAATATTAATATAGTTATTGTTGTACCATTAAACTATATACTACCTATGTTCTTTTTTAAATGCAACAATTGGACTTTCACGTTTGCCTAGATGCAACTTTGACTGAATTATATTTCAATACGTATTAATAAACATTAAAAAAATTATTTTTTGTGGAAAGTCACGTTAAGAGAAATTTAGTAATATTTTATATATAATAATTATTTTAAATATATTAGTAGAAAATCTTGGTCAAATTAAGGTGTGTGAATAGTACAAAATTCAAGTGTTGCAATTATTAAAGAACAAAGGAAGTATTAAATATTTGAAAAATGTAACAATTTTTTTAATACTTGACCTGGTAATTTATCCGATCGACTCCTGGTCCGGTTTTTACAATATAGTCGCAAGGTTTAAAGTGACTGTAGCTGGTGCGAGCCTGCGTCGCAAGTTTGAAGATGATCTTCGCTAGTTCTCCAGCTTTTTGTTTCTATTGATCAATTCACTTGTCACTTAATGTCTTTGTCAGACTTCTTATATCTATTATATTAACATATTTTATATGCAGTTATGCACCAAACAGTATATGCACTACAGTATTACATAGTTTAATTCTAATATTATACATTTAATAATCCGTATTAACTTGTATATTAATATTGTTATGCAGTATTAAACTATTAATAAAAACTAGTTTATATCTATATATGTAGTTTATATATGTATAAGAAAAATATACATAATATATATATATATATTATATTATATTTAAATATTACACAAGGTGTAACTAGTCGCCTAATTGTCGCCTAGGCGATATGGCGGTAGGCTGGCGCTGTGCGCTCGCCTTACCGTTGTGACAACCTTGGTACTCATCACTTGTTAGTGTGAAATTTCCCATGACGCCGGTAGTGGAACCAAAATGTTATGTACACAGTTTTTTTGTGTCACAGGAGTGAACAAAATGGATAAACTGTAGGGTCGTTGAGTTTTAGGGAGTTTCCCTCCATTGGATTTTGGGGAGTTTTCTTTCACCTTGATTTATTCTTAATTCTTTCTTGGATATTTTATTGGCATCACAATGTTTCCTTTTATGATTGAGATTACATGTAAATGAGTTGCTAAAATCCTAAAACTAAGAAAGGGAAATCCTCGAAAATCACTTTCAGAAATAGTTTAACGTATGAAGCTACTAAAATAAAGTCAATCAAGCAATTTAATTAGCCACCACTCCTCATTCTTCTACTTGATTGCTCTTTGAACTTTCCATAACTTTCTACTGTAGCATGCATCGCGAATTCGCAAAATACCCCGAAATGTTGCCAAACATTTAAAACTCGATTGACACTAAAGCATTGAACTAAACTAAACTCACTCAAAAATGTCACTCAACTATCAAAACATTCATACCTGGCTTTTTGACATTTCTTGTCTACAAAGGCTTTAATCACTAATGTGATTAGGTGCGTGATGAAAGTTTTAACCAACTATAGCAACAGTTTCAATGATATCAGCCCAAATTGTATAAAAAATTTGAATGTACTTCCTCCGTCCCTCAATCTTTTGTCAAGTTTGACTAGACACGAGGGGCAAGTATAAATTTTGGGGCTGAAATTTCTGCAAGAGAAAAAAATAATATAAACCTCTAATTCGTTTCTTTAAAGGGTGGCAAACCTTTTACTACGGCCAGAAATGTAAAGACCGCAAAAGAAATAGTGACGGAGTGAGCATGATGTGTTCTTTTTGTTGCAGCAGGTTTATCATTTCTTACAACTTTTTCATGAATCCATTCGCCTTAGTGTATCTAATGGTGACAGTATTTGGAGCTTCTGCATACATGACATCTACGAAGTGCAGGGTGGGGAGCCAGGACACTAGGTCGGACTAGGCTGTTACAAAGAATATTTTTGAGAAAAAATTTACACAAAATTTTTTACCCTAAAAATATAGACATTTTTAAAATTTGGGCTGGGCCGGGGCCAGGGTTGGCCCCTCCCTAGCTACGCCCCTGACGAAGTGGTTCAAATCATTTTAAAAGTTTAGGGTCGCTATTGAGTTACATGTGTGACTAAATGGGACACTTGGGCAGTTCAGATTCGGGGGGGGGGGGGGGGGGGGGTCATAGTTAAGATCATTTTGCGGTATTTGGCCAATTCATATTCAGTCAGTATTGCTAATTGTCCTTTTTGGTGCAGTACACGGGGATTAGGGAAAGCTCTGGCTCGGGAGTTCTTACTTTCTGGAGACCGTGTTGTTATTACCTCTCGCAGGTCAATTAATTAAGAATGTAATGAAATTGTGTTGATTATTTGTGTACTCTTATGTGTCTTGTGCTAACTTTGGCTTTATCTAAGGCAGCCCAGAATCAGTGGATATGACTATCAAAGAGCTAGAAGATGATCTAAATCAAATCATGAGAACTACAACAGGTTCATATAAGAAAAAGTGGGATCATGCAAAAGTGCTAGGAATTGCATGTGATGTCTCTCAACCTGAAGATGTTAGGAAACTGGGAAAGTTTGCAGTTGATGAGCTTGGTACCATTGACATTTGGGTAAGTCATTTTCTGGGGTTACAATACGTACAAAGTACAAACAAAGAGACTGCCGTGAAGAAACGTAGTTTTTTTATTAATTTATTTTTTTTAAACTGGTTCCAAAATTTACCCAGGTAAACAATGCTGGGACAAACAAAGGGTTCAGGCCTTTATTGGATTTCACTGACAATGACATTCGAGAAGTATGCAACGATAAATCTAATCTTTTGGATCTTCACGTGATGGCTTACTGTTGTTAGTGTTCTTTTATAAATGGTGCATTAGATTTGACTACCATAACACTTCATAAATTGCTTCTTTTTTAAATGGGGCCATGAGGTGTAGATAGTGTCAACAAACCTTATAGGATCCATTCTTTGCACTCGAGAAGCGATGCGGATCATAGGATCTCAAAGTAAAGTGGGTCACATATTCAATATGGACGGTGCTGGTTCTGGAGGGTCTAGCACTCCTCTGACTGCTGTGTAAGTGCTGTTGATGGCTTGTCAACCACCACCATTCAGAATTTTTCTGTTAAATATTTTGAGTTTAAAAGATGTTACTTTCTTCTACTCACTCAGGTATGGGTCAACAAAATGTGGTCTGAGGCAGCTTCAATCATCACTGTTCAAGGAGTGCAAGCAATCAAACATTGGAGTGCATACTGCCTCCCCTGGGATGGTTCTGACCGACTTGCTTTTAAGGTACACACCGTTCTTCTGTGATAGACCTATAATATAAATAAATGTTGTATTATCAGGTAATGGAACTTATTATTTCCCGTACAACAACAACAACATTCAAGCCTTAGTCCCAAAGATATTGGGGTTGGCTAACATGAATCGATACATGATATCACCACCAAAAGGATAAGAAATAAAATAAAGATAAAAAAGATAAGCTATTGTAAAAAAGATAATATAAAAAGCGATGAATATACCTATAAATGATAAAATAAAAAGAATACAAATAATGTTTGTATATATAAGGATAAAAAGATAAAAACAAGAGAAAAAAAGATGAGGAGAAAAGATAATAGGAGATCACTCCTCTACACGAATACCCGCCCTCCACTTTGTTCTCTCCAAAGTCATACCCTCATCCAACCCAAGAAGAAGCATATCACTTCGGACTCTAATCCACGTCTGTTTGGGCCTTCATCTCCCTCTCTTCCCTGCCTCTTCTCCACACATCTCAACCCGTCTGACAGGTGCATCACTCGGTCTTCTACGCACATGATCAAACCACCGTAGACGTGACTCCCGCATCTTGTCTTCAGTAGGTGCTACCCCCACCCTTTGTCTGATTGTTTCATTCCTCGGTCCTTCCTAGTATGCCCACACATCCAACGCAGCATGCGCATCTTTGCCACACTCATCTTTTGAATGTGACATTGTTTCACCGCCCAACACTCTACGCCATACAATAATGCATGCCTAATTGTTGTCCTATAAATTTACCCTTCAGTCTAGTCGCCATACCTCTATCACATAAAAATCCTGACGTACTCTTCCACTTCATCCACCTTGTTTGAATTCTATGGGATACATCTCTATCTAACTCACCGTCCTGAATTATGGAGCCCAAGTAACGGAACATATCACTGACCGGTATCTCTTTACCATCTAGAGTAATTCCGTTATTACCATTGCTTCTACCTCCACCAAACTTGCATTCCAGGTACTCTGTCTTGCTCCGACTTAGTCTGAAACCCTTGTTCTCCAATGTTTGTTGTCATACTTCCAACTTTGCTTTAAGACCTGATTGCGTCTCATCAATCAATACAGTATCGTCGGCAAACATCATGCACCACGGTATTTCGTCTTGAATTGACTTCGTAAGTTCATCCATGACTATGGCAAATAGGAAAGGGCTCAGAGCCGATCCTTGGTGCACTCCGATAGTAATAGGGAACTCCGCAGTCCTCCCTACACTAGAACGGACAGTTGTAGTACAATCCTCATACATATCCATGATGATGCTGATATACTTGCGTGATATGCCTTTTCTAGTTAAGGCCCACCAAAGAACTTTTCGAGGTACCCTATGATAAGCCTTTTCTAAGTCGATGAACATCAAATGCAGATCTTTGTGAGCGTCTCTATACTTCTCCATAAGTTGCCGAAGAAGGTGAATGGTCTCAGTTGTTGAGCGACCAGGCATAAAATCAAATTGATTCTCTAAAATCTTCACAATTTTTCGAAGTTTTTTGCTCAATCACTCGCTCCCAAAGTTTCATGGTGTGACTGTTAGGAATTACACTCACGCACACGAAAAACAATAACGAAGAACACACAAAATATGGTAACTCAGTTCGCCACGAATGATTACGTCTGGGGGGCGCTACCAAGCCAGGAATATTATTGCTATTTTCGGATCCACACACACTGATTACAAGGGAGAGAGCTTGTATTTATAGAGAAGTAAATCCTAACCCCAAGGCAACTAGGATGTGTTTCCTAAAATAAATTAAGAAACGTGTTTCCAAAAATAAATTAAGAAACTGTCTCTAACACCTTACAATCTCCCACCAAGAGATTGTCTTCTTCAAACCTCCCTTGTAAGCATGGTAGCGCCGACCTTCATCTTCAAGTGCCCAGGCCAATTGAAGCTATGCAGAGCTTCAATTTCTCCAAGGGTACCGCCTTAGTAAACATGTCTACTGGATTCTCACTCCCATGGATCTTCACAGGCTGCAATGCTTCTATCTCTAGAAGATGACGGATGTAGTGATACTTCAATCGAATGTGTTTGGTTCTCTTGTGAAAAGCTGAGTTGTTGGTCAAGAAGATAGCACTTTGACTGTCACTGTAAAGAATGCTATTCTTGTACTCCTTCCCAAGTTCCCCAAGTAAATTCTGAAGCCACACCATCTCCTTACTTGCCTCCGTAATGGCCACATATTCAGCTTCAGTGGTAGATAATGCAACAATCTTCTGCAGCTGCGAAAGCCAGGAAACTGCCGTTCCACCAAATGTAAAAACATACCTGGTAGTGCTCCTCGATCCATCCGAGTCATTCAATGCCAGGTCTGCATCAACATGTCCCAGCAGCTCTACATTCTTTCCCAGCAGCAGTACCTTTCAAATATCTTGTGCACACCATCGCGTACATTATGTTTCCAATTGCCGATGCGTATGGGACATTCTGCATTTGAGCACGCTCCTCCTTGTTCTTCGGTGAGTCTTCCTTGCTAAGCTTGAAGTGACTACCCAACGGTACACTTGCTGCCTTTGCATCTTGCATTCTAAATCTTTCCAAGACCTTCTGAATGTATTCTGCCTGTGAAAGATACAATTTGCCCGCTGCCTTATCCCTCTAAATTCGCATACCCAAAATCTGCTTTGCCTCTCCAAGATCCTTCATGGAAAAACGTTCTGACAACTGTTGCTTTAACTTTTCAATCTCTTTTGAACTAACTCCTGCAATCAACATGTCATCTACATATAAGATAACAGTTCTCGGTCTTCTTGTAGTAGCATCAATTGTCGGTGTGACATCTCAAGAAACTGATTTCACGCATGAAACTATCAAATTTCTTGTACCACTGCTTCGGTGCTTGCTTCAACCCGTATAAGCTCTTCACTAGCTTACATACGAGATTCTCACTGCCTTCCGCCACATAGCCCTCCGGTTGCACCATGTAAATCTCATCATTCAGATCACCATGAAGGAATGCCGTCTTCACATCCATCTGATGTAACAACAAATTCTCTGCAACAACTAACCCCAACACTAACCGAATAGTAGTAAGTTTCACAACTGGAGAGAATATGTCGGTGTAATCAATACCATACCGCTGCTCGAATCCCTTCACAACCAGCCTAGCTTTGTAGCGTTTGCTACCATCTGCCTCCTTCTTGATGCGGTAGACCCACTTGCAGTGCAAAGCCTTCTTTCCTCTCGGTAGCTCAACTAACCTCCAAGTATCATTGGATGTGAGAGATGTCATCTCATCATCCATTGCAAGTTTCCATTTGCCCTTGTCATCAACCCGAACTGCCTCTGCATAAGACTCCGGTTCACCACCATCAGTAAGCAACAAATAGAAATTAGAGGGTGAATACCTATTTGGTGCTCTCCGGTTTCTTGCAGGCCGCTGCCTTGGCGAGCGGGGTTGATGGATCCTCATCACTGCTCAACTCTTCATTCTGATCCTGCTTGCACCCACCCGAATTAGAGATATCCAACTCTATGATCTTCGGACTTTCTTGCTCAGAAACGGATGCACTCAATATGTCCTTGTACATAACCTGCTCGTTGAACACCACATCTCGACTACGAATAATCTTCCTATTATGATCATCCCAGAATCTGTGTCCATATTCATCACCACCATAGCCAACGAATGTACACTTGACAGATTTAGCGTCTAGCTTGCTTCGGTTAACGAAACTGATATGAACATAAGCAACACAACCAAATATGCGGAGATAGGACAGATTAACCTCTTTATCCATCCACCTTTCTTCAGGAATGCCATTCTCCAATGAGATCGTTGGACTTCTGTTGATGAGAAAAGTCGCGGTGTTCACTGCATCCGCCCAAAACATCTTCGGTAAGCCACTCTTCAACCTCATGCATCTTGCCCGCTCATTCAGTGTTCTGTTCATGCGTTCAGCAACGCCATTATGCTGCGGAGTCCCCTTCGTTGTTTTCTCCATACGAAACCCATTCTCAGCACAAAAATTCTTGAACTCATGCAGTTCATACCCACCTCCATTATCTGACCGAAGGCACTTCAACTTCAGTCCTGTCTCTGTCTCAACACGAGCTTTCCACCTCTTGAAAGCATCAAAGGCATCGGATTTATTTTTGATAAAATAAACCCATACCTTTCTTGTGGCATCATCAATGAAGGTCATGTAGTAAGCAGATCCTCCTAAGGATGTAACTTCTGCAGGTCCCCAAAGGTCGGTGTGAACTAGTTCCAACCTCTCCGGTTTGATAGCTTGCCTTCCATTTGAGAAACTGACATGTTTCTGCTTCCCGAATATGCAGTCCTCGCATAAGCCAACCTCAACAGTCTTCAGGCCGGGCAGTTTGCCCTTCGAACACAACTCGTTCATCCCCTTTTCGCTCATGTGACCGAGCCGACAGTGCCATAAATTCACATCGTTTGTTGCAGCGGCAGCAACATCGATGCAGTCCTTTGAGTTCGTTGTCATGTACAACGTACCATCCTTCTTCCCTTTAGCAACCAGTAAGGCTCCTTTGGTGATCTTCCAATTTCTGCTGCCGAATGTAACTGCATAATCTTCCTCATCCAGCTGCCCAATTGAAAGAAGATTCCTCCTCAAACCAGGAATGTGTCGGATGCCATTCAATTTCAGCATACATCCGTTCGGAGTCTTCACGTGGACTGTCCCCTTCCCGACAATTTTAAGAGGCTCATCATCAGCAATATACACCTCTCCAAAATTGCCAGGAGTATATTATTCCATCACTTCAGAATTACCACATGAATGGAACGAGGTTCCAGAATCCAGAACCCATGACTTCAACGGACTGCTCACGCTCAGGATCAGGAGATCATCACCTGATGATTCTGCCGCTGCATTGGCAGATGTCTTCTCCTTCTGATCCTTGATCTGCTTCTTGCACTGGCTCTTGAAGTGTCCGTACTCCTCACAATTCCAGCACTTGATCTGACTTATGTCCTTCTTGCCCTTGCTGTTTGACTTGGATTTGGATCTTGATCTATCCCGATTTGACTTGGACTTCGACTTCGTTCTGCCCCGGTTCTCTGTACTCAACGCCGATCCAGAAGCCAGGCCTGATTCCTTCCTGCGAATTTCTTCGCTGACCATCAGATTTCTGACTTCATCGAATTTCAGTTTCTCTTTCCCTGTCGAAGCGTTGACTAGAGTCACTGTTCCGTTCCAGCTTTCTGGGAGAGAAGACAGCAGAATAAGGGCATGAATTTTGTCGTCGAATTTTATCTCAACCGCGCTCAACTGTGTGGTGATCACATTGAACTCGTTGAGATGATCCACCACTTCTGACATCTTCAGCTTAAAAAGACGCCTCATCAGATGAACTTTGTTCACAGCGGAAGATTTCTCGTACATATCCGACAAAATCTGCAACATCTCCTTCGTCATTTTTGCTTTGACGGTGTGTAGGGCGATGTTTCTGGACAACGATAATCGAACCACGCTCATCGCTTTTCTGTCTAGCAACTTCAATCGCTCTTCTTCATGTCTTCCGGCTTATCATCCAGAGGTTGATACAGATCTTTATCGTACAGGTAATCTTCGATCTGCAACTTCCAGAATCCGTAATCCGTTCCGTCAAACTACATCACCGGTATCTTCAAATTGTCTGCCATCGTGAGATCTCCCTTCAAACCTAGGGCTCTGATGCCAATTGTTAGGAATTACACTCACGCACACGAAAAACAATAACGAAGAACACACAAAATTTGGTAACTCAGTTCGCCACGAATGACTATGTCTGGGGGCGCTACCAAGCCAGGAATATTATTGCTATTTTCGGATCCACACACACTGATTACAAGGGAGAGAGCTTGTATTTATAGAGAAGTAAATCCTAACCCCAAGGCAACTAGGATGTGTTTTCTAAAATAAATTAAGAAACGTGTTTCCAAAAATAAATTAAGAAACTGTCTCTAACACCTTACAGTGACTCATAAGCTTAATCCCTCGATAGTTGGCACATTCTTGTACATCACCTTTATTCTTGAATAAGGGGATAAGAGTACTCTTCTTCCAACTCGTTGGCATCTTGTTGTTTCTCCAAATCAAGTTGAAGAAAATTGTTAACCACTCGACGCCTCTCTCTCCCAAACTTCTCCAAGCCTCGATCGGTATGTCATCTGGTCCCACTGCTTTCTTCCGCCTCATCTTCCTCAGATCCTCTTTAACTTTCGTTGTTTGGATCCTTCTCACAAAATCACGATTTACCATACAATCCGGTATGGTCAAATCTTCGATATTTTGCGCCCCGTTGAATAGTGTATCAAAGTATGACCTCCACCTCTCTTTTATCTCTCCGTCCTCCATTAGTACCCTTTGATCGACATCCTTCACACACTTAACTTTTCCTACGATCACGAAGACTAACAAGTCTGTAAATGTCTGTTTCTCCATCCTTTGAATCCAATTTTGCATGCAATTCTTTGTTCACTTTTCCTCTTGCTTCCTTTACAGCTTTCTTTGCTCTTCTTCTAGCCTCCTTATACTCTATGTTCTCGTCGCTCCAACTTTTGCCCAACTTTTCCCGTAGTTCAATTTTATTTTATATAGAGAAGAAAATGTTTTTAGTTTTTACAGCTAACTTTTGATAATGGGTTTGGCAGTGGATCAAGTGTTAAAAACAAGCAGGTGTTCAACATCATATGTGAGCTCCCGGAGACTGTCGCTCGAACTCTGGTGCCACGGATGCGAACTGTAAAAGGAAACGGGAAGGCTATAAACTATTTGACCCCGCCAAAGATATTGACTGCTTTGGTTAGTGCATGGCTAAGGCGAGGTCGTTGGTTTGATGACCAGGTGATCCTCATACCCTCCTCATACCTCCCATTTCACTGTTTGGGTTGTTTTGAATAACTAGAATGTAAAATATTACTTCCTTTTTTCTGTTATGGGCATGGTTAGGAGATTAGAAGAGCTAACAGAAAAGCTATGGTGATTCAAAAAATAATTCAGCTTTCCGACCTAGGCAAGGAAGTATCCATCGGTTCCACTGAGGGCTCAAGAAAAACTATTTCTCCAAAAGATTGATGATATTATGGATGAATAGAGCTCCATTCATACTAGTCCCAAAAGTTTTGACGGCCCTTCATAGAGCAATCCTAATTCCTAAAACATAGTAGTGGCGGCGGCGGTAGTAGTGGCAGTACTAGTACTCGTGGCGGCGGCGGTTGTGGTATAGAAGTACTTTAATATAGGACCTGTGTAAATGTACTTGACCATTCATTGGGAAGACTGATTACCCCCCCAACTGAAGTAGTGTTAAACAATTGCCAATTTCATACATAGTTCTCCTCATATGATAAGGGTTTGTTTAGATTACGAAAAGTTAGGAAAAGGAAAGAGATTCCGATTACATCTTCATAGGGAAGATTTGTCATGATTTTTTTGGAAGGGTGGCTTCCGATTAAATCATTTCTTTTAAATATTATACCCTGTGTTTATTTTGATTTCTTCTCTGTACAATAGAAAATAATAAATAAAACGAAATTTGAAGAAAAATCTGAAATAAATTTAATTTGATTGGAGTTTAAGTCGAGCCTTCAAATTTATTTCCCTACGAGTTCACACTAACGTGTTAAACTAGGGTGTTGAAATGATAGTATACAGAATGATGATGATGATGATGATGATGATGATGAGGATGATAATGATGTGTTGTTGGCAGGGAAGAGCATTGTATGCTGCAGAGGCAGATAGAGTCCGAAACTGGGCGGAGAGCGGTGCACGATTGCCATTCCGAGATGCCATGGAGATGATGTACTCTGAGGATACTTGGATTTCTCTCTTTTCTCTTTCTGTCCTTTGCGCTTTTATCATCCTCTCTACCACCACCACCACCAAGTATCCTGGCACCTAGATTATTGCTAACTAGATTGATTATATGTCAAATGTTTTTACGTAATATAGATTGATTATATGTCAAATGTTATTATGTGTAATAGGAAGTTTAAAGCATTTGTGCTGCTGCCGCTGTGTGTTAGCAATATTTAGTCATAATGCAGGTTACAAATCATCACCTTTTGTACAAATTCCAGAACACGCACCAGAAGCACTCAAATTCATAAAATATCATTCGTGCTTCCACTCCTTGATGATCCACCAAAGTTTGGTTCCTATGTATATATGTAATGTGAAAAAATGATCTGTATTATGATTATTATATGTGCTTCGATTGCAAAGATGGATTCACGTGTCTCGTCCGACAGACTACATCTGCAAGTCATGATTAAATGTTTAATGATAATGTATTATACATTTATACTTCCAAATTTATTCAATGGTGAATTTCATATAAAATAATCTATATCCAGAATTGGTTCCGAAGTATGGGTGGACCGGTTCCGGTTCGGTCCCGGCCGGGCCTCGGTTCAGGAATGGGAGGCCCGGAACCGGCCCGGGTAATCCCGGGTCCGGGCCGGGCCGGGCCTCGGTTCTATTTTTTTTTTTTTTGGCTTTTCCTAATTAACCCACAACCCTCCCCCTTCACCCCAAACCACCCCAAACCACCTCAAATGGCCCAAAATACCCAGTCCAACCCAAAAACTTTAAAAAAATTCAAAAAAAAAATATTAATTTGGCCCGAACCGGGCCCGAACCGGCCGGGCCGGTTCGCCAATCCTAGGGCCCGGGCCCGAACCGCACAGTAACTGGGCCGGGCCGACCCGAACCGGTTCCCGGGCCGCCCGGCCCGAGTCCATCCCTATTCCGAAGTTTGGATGTTACACGGTATTCAATAGGTGAACACATAATTTAAAAAAATTGAAAAAATGGAAAAGAATAATCTCAACTATTAGTGATATGATTGAAATAATTTGGATTCCGGAATATCAATTATCTTAAAATAATTCCAACTATTAAAAAAGCTTCTCAAAAGCTTCAATACTTGTAAATATTATAAGTCATTTATGGGTTATTATATGCCACTGGAGTATTTTTGAGATTTTATTTCAACAATTCGGATTATTTTGAGAAAGTTGATGTTTTGGATTATTCCAAACAAGTTACTAATTGTTGAGATTGTTTTTGTCTTTTTTTCTAAAAAAAAATAGAACACTAATATGCTCACTACTTTATGGTATCACTAGTGATGGACCTGGTTCGGGTCACTCGGCCAGGGAACCGCCTGGCCCGGTACTGTGCGGGCCCGACCTTGGAACTGGGTACTGGTTCTGGGTCATTGGCCCGGTTTAGGGAGGATAGCGGGGCCATGGGGCGGGTACGAGTTTGGGGAATATGGAACCGGCCCGGCCGGTTCCGGGCCCGGTTCGGGCTTTATTCTTTTTTTTTTCTTTTAATTTTTTTTAACTTTCCGGGTTGGGCTGGGTATTTTGGGCCATTTGGCCTGGTTTGGGGGGGGTGAGGGGAGGTCGGGGTTAATTAGAAAAAGCAAAAAAAAAAAAACTGGCCCAAGGCCCGGGCCCGTCATGGGCCTTCCCACAATGACAAAAGGCCCGAACGGGCCTAGGCCTAGCCCGGGCCCGATCCAGCTCGGCTCCATGCCTAGGTATCACTAACCTTTTGATCTATTGATATCTCAAACAAGAGGTAGTGAGTTCATGTGGCATCTCAATTAATGATCAATCAATCGTGTTGACATTATTATGAGTAGATATTATAATAAGTTTAGAAAATTATTTGAAAAACCGAGCGCATTATGTATGTTTTTTGTATCATTACTTTATTAGCATTATCAATGTTCTAGAAGTCGATAGGCGTTAGTAGGCGTTAGACGGGTGCTCAGGTGGTGACTAGTCGAAGACACATAAATTGTATTTTTATTAATATTTTGCTTAAATATGATATGTTATACTACCTCTGTCCCTAAATGTTTTTCTCACTTTGACTTCACATATATTATGGAAATGATTTTGACTTTACACTGTAGCGACACTGTTTGACACTTTTGTGACACTGTAGCGACACTATTTGACACTGTTTTGCACTGTTTAACACTGTTTGGTAAATGTCAAATAAGGAAGTTAAAAAAGTAGAACAAACATTTTGGGACATCCATTTAGAGAAGGTAGGACAAACATTTAGGGACGGAGGAAGTATTGTGATTGTGTGTGTATAAAAAATAAATACACGCATTAACTTGCATGAATGACATAATTGTAACATTTGTTTTTGAATGTATAGAGACTTATCTATTAATAATAAAAGTAATAAGAGGTAAGAAATACAATAACTCAAGGCTATGCTTCAATTAGCCCCCCAAAGATATTTGCTAACCCTACATCGATATTGACTAATCTAACAGCAGTGCTGAACTTGCAACTAAAGTGGGAGGTATTTTTTTTAATAAAAGCAACAAAATAATTCAAGCATCCTGATTTTACCAGCCACCAGGAAGGGGAAGAGGTTTGTCCATTCACCTCCAAAGGAAACATCCGATTTTACCAGCCACCGAGAAAGGAGAAGTGGTTTCACCAGCCACCTCCAATGGAATCATCTCATTTATGAGACATGTCAGTATTTTAAGCGGTGTTGTTCCAGGAGCGTCACCGCCTTGTCGTTTTTTTATCCATAGCCATCAACCTCCTCCACTGACACCCTTTTATAAGTCTAATGTAAGCTCTCCATTAATGGGCAAAAAAATGAACATCAGATCCAAGACAGAGAAAAAGAAGCAGCTGAACTCACGATCAAGAGCCCAAACACATTAACAATTGGAATGAACCGAACCTTCGTCCATAGACAACTCAGCCGAGCAAACAAAGTGAGAAGAAAATCAGTTGTAAGAGTGTTGAAAATCGATGAGAAAACCTGGAAGGAGATCGCCAAGAATTCCAAATACCACCCACGTTCGTTGCTGAGATGGAAGAAGAAGAGAAAGTCGTCTCCCACACTCTTCTGGGTAGATCATATCTTCGGCGCACTCTAGGGTTCGTCCATCATTGATTGCTCGTAGATGGATTTGTGTAATCGTATTTATATTCTATTTGTTCCACAGAATTGTAACATTTAATAATACTCCCTCCGTCCCATTGGACTTTGCCAACTTTTCCTTTTTGGTTGTTCCAAAAAACTTTGTCAGATTCCTATTAAAGCAACTAATTTGTGGGTCTGCACATTTCTCTCTCCTCTGCACAAATTTCAACCACACAGTTTTTACTATTCTTATTTCTCACCTACTTTGCACTTGGCAAGTCCACCGGGACGGAGGTAGTATATGATAACTAATAACTCAATTTTGTTACGCAAATATCATGTACTAATAAAATTTAAGTATGGGGGTGTTTGGAACTGATTCTGATTGTTGCTTCTTTTTTAAAGGAGAAGCAGAATCAGTTTTCAGAAACTGGTCACCCCCAGCTTCTAAAAAAACTGATTCTAGGAGTAAATTAGAGCACCAGGATCACTTATTCACTTTCACCCAAAGACTCCAGCTTCTGCTTTGACTCCCTGAAGGAGCAGCAGTTTTAAGAATCACATCCAAACACCCCCTAGATATACAAACAATGAAACAAATATGGTTTTTATCTTAGTTTACATGTATCTTTTTCCATATCAATGGTTTAAGTTAAAGTATGGGAAAGTAAAATTAGAAAGCAAGTAAAATTATTTGGCCAAATCTAGAGGCCCCAGGTGTCTGACTAGGCGTTCTGTATGAGCAACTAAGCGCTCTAGCAATCGGTAACTGATAGCCGTTATATTTACTTGTGTTTAACATAAGTATTTATAAGTATTTGTTGAAGAAAGGAAGATAAATCGGGCAAATACCTTCAGAATGAGAGCTAGAGCATAAAACATTGCGATGAACGACTTTTTAGACCAAGAGAATGACGTTCTGCCCATAATTTGGGTATAACGTATTCTATAGAACTCGAAATCACTCGATTCGAGTTTCATGTGAATGCTAACTCAATAAGGAACAAATGTTATGAAGACGTCATGGCCAAAATATGAAAGGAACAAGACTCAATCAACCAACAAAGTCAGATGTTGCTGGTGAGATTTCAGGATGCATACCTCTCAGTGTTTTAGCCATAACGTTTGATTGGATGAATAAAATCACGTCATTCAAGTTTTGGTGGATAGAAGACTTCATTATCTACAACTTTGGTGAAGGAATCATGTCCAAATTCGTAGCGGAACATCCTCAAAATCCTGGGACAAAAACCGACACTTTTTGACCAATTTCAGAAGAAGAGAAAGGAAGCGCATTTTTGGGCGCTGCAACCGGCGCCGGTCAGCCTATAACCGGCGCCGGTTGGAAGGCTTTTTCGCACTAAACGAGCCTGTTTGCGACCGGGGCCGGTTCTAGACTGACCGGGGCCGGTTGGGACGATTTCAGCTCAAACAAAAGGTCGTGCAAGAGGATTTTTGATGGGAAAACTTCACCTTCCTCATCTCTTAATCAAATATTGCTCCATACTTGATTGTTGGGCTCGAATAGACTAAAAGATGCCATTCTTTAGCCTATATAAATCCTTCAATTCATCAAGCAAACACATTCCATTCCATAGATTAATTCTTAGCTTTTATATTTTTGTTCTTGGTATTTTCTTCAAGTTCTTGAGGAGGAAACTTCAACCTCCAAAACCATTGGTGTTTAGGTATTATTTCCTTTGTAATTTCATGTTCCATTACATTTCATATTGTATTGTGATTAATATGAGCATTAGAGGCTAATTTCTTAGCTAAGGCTAGGGATGAACCTCTATGCACACTAGGTGTTTGATAAAAGTTCTAAACCAATAAATTGTGATTTATCCTTTATATTTTGATTGTTTATGACTATGGTGTACAACATAGAAGTATGTTAAATCTAGTTTATGCTTGCAATTAACGTTGGAGTCTAAACTATGAACATTAAAGGATAAACATATATAGCACCGAGAATAGAAATATATCCGGTCTTATATGATACGGGTGTGATGTCTTGATATTCAACGGGGTCTTCGGTAGATGAATGTGAGCCGTAACGGGACTTACACGTAACGAAAACCACGCTCTCGCTGCCTTAACCGGAGTTGAGAATATATTAGCGACATCGTATTCATGATTATTGGGAAAGAACTTTTATTAAATAACTATTAACGCATTTAGGTGAATCCCGATTGCCTTAGTAATTCTCATTCTTGTTAAATCAACATCAAAGAACAAAGTTCCTGAAAGAATATATATCATTTATATTCCTTTGCATTCAATACTCAACTTTATAATATCAACCATTTCCCTGTGGATCGACCCGGTATTTACCGGTATTTTATTACTACATCGGCACTTGTATACTTGCAAGTTCAGCCCGGTCAGTAACCCTCTTTAGGCATTGTAGTTCGGTGCCGATGAATTGTTCGGTAACTTTCTTTCGCCAATGTTTCGCCGATTGCTTCGATGTTAGCAGCGTTGGAGCGGATCAATTTCTTTTCATTTAGATGTTGGGAGGTCGACAACGACGATGGGAATATGCTTTGGAGTGTACGTAGCCCTCACATTTGAAGATCTCTTGGGGGGGGGGGGGTCTGCGAGGTGGTATCGACCAGGCTCAACTTCGCCTGGAATGGAGGCCAGGAGAGGTCAAGGCGGCCGTGGTGTGGCGGTACTACGTAGGGACAGAGCATAAATGCTATTCACATATTTGGATAGGTATGTAGATGTGGGAAAGCATAAGGAGACGACAACGGCCAACCAGAGGTCGGACGGCGATGAAAGATTGAGCCACCGCCATAGGTTAAACAATGTGTTAGGGTTTGGAAAACTTATCCTATTAATTATTGTTATTTTGTTGTTTTGTATAGTGTTAAAGTCTTTGTTAGATTTACCGGCTTGATTGAAAAATTATCTTATTTTTATGTCGTTAGAAGTATACGCATCTATATATAGGTCTAGTGATTGTTGCGTCAAACTAGATTCGTGGTTAGCAATTCGTGTTGCTCTTTTAGGGGGTAACTGTTTATATGTCTAATAGTATGGTTTTCAGTCGTAGTTGATGGAGGTTAGTTGGTGTCAAATATGGTTTTTGTTTGATTGGTGTAACGATACTGAAACTAGTTAAATAAATATAGACCATTTCTTTAAAAAAAAACTTTGATTTAAAAGTCACGTGTTTGGTGAATAAGTTGGATGATAAGGTTAATAAGTAGGGCTGAGCAAATAACCGACAAAACCGATAAAACTGAAAACCGTTACCTGAACCGACAGAAAAGTCGGTTATCAGTCGGTCATCGGTTATTATATACTCCCAGCTCCCTCCGTCCCTATTAATTTTGCCAAGTTTGACCGGCACATAGATTAATAAAGTAAAAATTGTGTGGTTGAAATTTGTGCAGAGGCGAGAGAATTAACTGGAACCATGAATTCTTTACTTAAATGGGAAAATGGCAAAGTTAATGGGAATTCCAAAAAATGAAAGTAGGCAAAGTTATAAGGGATGAAGGGAGTATTAAAAGAAGTCAGTTATTCGGATAACGATCGGTTATTTTAATCGGTTATCGATCAGTTTACCGAAAGCCAAAGTATAGTCAACTCCGTATAAACATTTGTATGTACTTGATGTATGTTATAATGTTTCTCTTAATAAAGTATCATAATTATTCTAAGAAATATGGGGAGTGTTCTAGTGAGAACCCCTCCTAAAATGAGAACCTTTTATAATAAGAACTCTTAATCTCCACCTTTGATTTTATTCAATCATTGGTAGGATACACATGAGGTCCTTTGTGTAATTATTCCAACTTCAAATGGAGTACTTTTTGTAATTATTATAAAGTTATTACAAAATAGATCCCATGTGCATTAAATCCCTTGATTTGATATATCAAAGGAGGTGATTAAGAGTTCTCATTTATAAATGAATTTTCATTTTATGAGGGGTTCTCACTAGAACTCCCCCCCTAAGAAATAATGTCAAATATATGACCAAAATGAATATTGCGGATACAAATATGTCTTTTTATAATTTAATGACTATAACCATCTAAAAAATAATGACTATAATTGTAATTTTAATGAGCATGCTTGTGTTCAATTTTATATTACAGTAATCATGAATGGTATACTAATGTTAACTTTAGTCATATTTTAGTTGTACTTTAGTAGGTAGTAATATTTGAGGAAAACCCTCATATATTTTCAATAAACCTTATGTATTTAGTATTTAGTGGTTCAACCAAAAGAGATAAAATGACACCCATGCACAAGAAAAACTACCACTAGCGTAAGAAATCCATTTTGTTTATGAGAATTTAATTCATTTCTTCTTATTTATTTAATGAATGGAGCAAAAACATTTTATATATGATCAATTATTTCATTCATTTTGTTTTGTAGTGTAAAAAATCACTTATATTCATCCATTTTTGTATATAATGTGTTTTCTAATATGTTTATACAAGGCATTCAAATCTTCGAAAAAAATATGCCTAAAAAATCTAGGCATATAAAAAGAAAATAATAATCCCAACTATTAAAACAGATTAGACAAATTAGACCAGACCAAGAAATTACAGTCATAGTAACAAAATCCTAATACTCCTGTATTTGACAAATTTTCAAAAATGAAAAATTGATGCCGCATAGTTGTATTATTTTCACTCTTTTCCGTCTGCATTTGAAAACATTCCTATTTCTCTATTTATTCTACTCCCTCCGTAACATAAAAATCTTTTCACTTTCCTATTCCGTCCGTAACAAAAAAAATCTTCTCATTTCTAAATCTTCCTATCATACTCTTAATAATTTTGAAAATAATACACTATTACAACTACTTTTTTTTATTTATCCTACATTCCATCACATTATTCCACCATCTTCCCATCATACCTTAATAATTCATATCCCCTTTCACTATAAGTTATGGAGGTAGTACTTTATTCCACTATAGATCTAAAAACTCCTATGCAAATCTTGTGTATTCAAAGTAGGGATGGACTGGGCCGGGCCGAACCGGCCCGGAACCGGACCGGCCCGCTACTGTGCGGGCCCGAACCGGACCGGGCCCGGTTGGCCGGTTCCGGGCTTTTAGCCCGTTTTGGCGGGTCGGGCGGGCCGGTTCCGGGCCCTGTTTTTGTTGAACCGGCCCGGGCGGTTCGGGCCGGGCCCGGTTCATTTTTTTTTTTTTTTTTGGTTTTTTCAATTTTTTTTCTTTTCCTAGGGTAGGGCTGGGTGTTTTAGGGAGGTTTGGGGCGTGGGGGTGAGGGGGGGGGGGTAGGGAGATAACAAGAAAGTCAAAAAAAAAAAAAAAAAAAAAAAAACATTGAACCGGGCCCGGCCCGGCCCGGCCCGGTTAGGCCCGGACCCGGTATCAACCCGGGCCGGTTCCGGGCCCATGTAACCCGAAAAAAAGCCCGCCCGGGCCCGGCCCGGAACCGGAACCGGCCCGGCCCGGGTCCATCCCTAATTCAAAGCCCAATCCAAAACCCCAAAATGGAAGTTAAAGATTGTGCTCCGAACGGCGAAGGTGCCAAAACCCTAGTTCCTAGCGTCCTCCCGCTTTCGCTATAAGTATCAACCTCCTTTCTAGTAGTTTGCATCTCTTCTCAATTTCACTAATCTTTACTAGCTGTTTTTGTTTAACGCTATTTGCAGTTCTATTTTTCTTGCGATTCATGGCCGATGATTAAATATATATTATAGACAAGCATATGGCTGAATTATCTGTGTTGATTAACCTAATCTTCTCTATGAGGCCATGATTGTTTAAGTTCTTTCAACCTCTATCACTTTCCGATCTTCTGTCAATTCCCACCGGTTTTGACGAAACTTAGGCTACTATTTGGGCATAGTTTCAGACGCCGATGATTTTACAATGGGTAATTATGATATTGGATGATTTAAATCTCATTGCGCTTTATTTTATTCTGAGGCTCTCTGAGTTGCAAATTGAATCTGTATTTTGTGTATAGATGTATCTAACAGAAAATTGTTGGTGGTTTTCCTTTTTGTTTTCGAGGGACGATGATGAGTATTTCATTTTGGTCTCGTTCGTCCTAATGGTTCTTAAACACCTTGACGACTATCCTGTTATATCACCACCCATAATATGAGTTCCTTCGACGTTTGTGGTAATTTTTCGTGTTATTTTTTGTTTTGTTTATCAATGTGCCGTGAAGAACATATTTTTTTGTGCTGGAGGCATTTATGTTGATGATGGTATCACAAACCCTCTAAGAAGTTCTGAGCACAATTAACTTTTGTACAAAAATGTGTGAGAAAATGGCAAATGACGAATTTCATGATTAATGGGTAATTTGCGCCTGATTACACTATGATGAATTAATCACCTTGGAGAACTGATGTCTTTCTTAATGTAGTTATTCTTCCCATCCGTATTGTTTTAGGAATTTTGTTTAAAGTGATGATACCTATGAACTGGGGCATGCTTAATCAATGCTTGCATAATCCAGTGGTATAAATTTTCATCACAAATAAAGCCCTCTCTTTAGGTCTTTCTCTCGGGGAGGACCAGTAGATTCGGCAGTCTCATATCCTATCGCCTTGAGGAGCGGAGTCTCTGCAATTACCTCTTGGGATTGGCCATGAGAAGTACATTATAAGTATTTCTTTTTGTACATTTGAGTTTTGTGTGAATATCCTCAATTTTTATAATAAGCCGATGAGGAAATCACTTTTAAATTACACCATCTTTCGGGACTGAATGGCCCATAAGGCCTTGCTGTAATTCTGCAATTCTGAGGCTCTCATAAAACCTTTTTAATGCTATTTATGTTTTAAAGGCGTTTTCGGTCATGTTATGTACAGTTTTTGATAAATCCACGCAGTTGTCATCTCGTTAGACGTGGTTTGCTTTTTTGTCCAACTGCTACACCTAACTTTATGAATTCAAGCATTTAATCTTCTTTCAGTCAAAAGAAAGATGTTTGACTATGTTTTGGGCTCTCCAAATCCACAATTTACTAAAGTTCCTTCTTCCAGCTTCACTCATTGTTGTAGAGCTTAATCAAGACCTGCTTGGCTGCTTCACACTAGTTAATTCAGAGAAGATTTAAATGTTAAAAGGTCGGGCCCTTGGTAATCTCAGACGTTTTCCTCTACCTTCCCTCACTGTTTTCGTGAGGGAAAGTGTCTTATCCGTTTACAATTTGATGGAAAGTATCTTATCCGTTTACAATTTGATGGAAAATATCTTATCCGTTTAGAATTTTCTTGTACAATAAAATGCTTTGTAATGAAGTAGGAGTATGGTGAAGTGTGATGTAATCTTAATGATTTTTGTCAGTAGTAGACAATGCTTTGTTACTATTGAATGGGCAAATCGTGAAATGCTTTGTAGACAAATATTAATGATTTCTGTCAGTAGTAGTTTAACAAATCTGTTAACATAATCTGTTTTACTAGTCTTTTTATTATCGTTTCAAAACATAGATTTTCTATGAATTAGGAGTATCTTGAAATGTGATTATTCCCGTGAATTGGGGCTTGCTAAACCAGTGCATGCATAATCCAGGGGTAAAAAATATCATCACAAATAAAGTCCTCGTATGGTCTTTCTCTCGGGAATGACTAGTAGAATGGGCAGTCTCATATCCTATCGCCTTGAGTAGCGGAGTCTCTGCTATTATCTCTTGGGATAGGCCATGAGAAGCACATTTTCACTTTTTAATATTTCAGTGTGTTTGGAGTTGGATTTTCTTCTTTAAGAAATCCTCTTTGGTCTTTGCTGCTACAATTGCTTGGATTCTGTTAAAACAAATTTCTAAAGGAAAATGCCTGTCTGCGTTTTGGCTCTTAAAACGTGTGGTTAAGATGGATGTTTTTTTTGTTAAATGTCTGGCCTTGCGCTTTGAATGTACTCTGCTTACTAGGTGAATCCAAGGGGATTGAGTGGATAGATTAACATGGAGAGAAGAAATGTTGAATTTGTGAAAGCACATCTGATTAGGATTGGATTGGTTAAAGTTATGACTTGCACTCTTGCAGTCAAATTTTAGTTCAACTTTGGACTCAAGTGGAGATTTATAATGATACTGGACCATTTCAAGTAGCTTCTATGCTTAGTCCAGTAGCAATTAGCTTTCAAGCCAAGCTTTCTCTTGTAAAGCCATTTGACAGTACCATTTCTGTTGTACAAATTCCTGTTTGGTTACAAGTGCAGATTCCTAATGTTATTCTGCTTGAAGCTGTGACAAAGTTTTAGAAGGGAGCACAGATTCAGTTTAAATTGCAATGGCAAGTGGAGGATACTCAGTAGTCATCACGAGAAGCAAGTTGGTATTGTTTACAATGAGAATTGTACATTTAGGAAGATGGGCCTCTCAATCAGAATTGTGCATTTAGGAAGATTGCCCTCCAGAATTTTCAATCAGAATTGTACATTTAGAATTGTATTTTCGATCAAAATAAAAAAGTGTATGCATTGTACATCACACATTTTTCTTGTCACATATCTGTTAGACACCTTGCCAACGATTGTGTTACATAATTGACATCACATTTTAATAAATTATAATATGGGCGACTATTGACAATCACACATCAATTTACTTTATACATGTTCCTATCACATTAACATGCACAATTTCATCAATAGGCAAAGTCAATAAAAGCCTCACATGATTGATCACATGCACATAGCATCACATTAAAGCATCACATGACTCATCACAGGCACATAGGCATCACATCTACATCCTAATCATATGCAAGAATCATAATCACAAGACATCATATGTATGAAGTCGAAACTTTGAATATTTGTGACAATTAACACATCATTTCACCCCTACATGTTCATAAGCACATTAACATACCCACACAAAATTAACATCTCAATTAGCATCATTATTGAAGCCTAAAGTAAATCATATTGTCAATATAATAAATGCAAAGAGAGTGAGAGTTAGAGATATAGACGTTGGAGGAGGTAACAAATCAATCAAAGTCGTCATGATCATACCAGACACCTCCTCCCATCTTCCAAATCTGGTTTCTTACATGTGTAATATTCTACTCTCTGTCTCCATGATCATCCTCACCAGTCTTGTAGTTCCACCACCTCCACTGAAGCTAAGGTTTGTTTCAGATCCACAATCATCATCCTTCTCATCATCAAAATCAGAATCTACCCCTTTACCATTTGTCTCAAGAATTATGGATTCCAGAAATAGCATGGTATCAGGACGAAATATACATATGGACAATTGAGAATCTCCAGAAACACGATGGTGGTTTCACAGGATTTATATAATAGAGCTTATCGGAGCCATATGTATCATTGTAAAAAAACACATGTAGAGAATAAAGACAGGACCAAGGAAGGTGAGAGACGACGGATAACACGTACTTGAAACAATGTAATGCTATTGACCAATATGGCCTTTGGTAGCAAAAAAAATAGCATACAAACAATTCCCAATATGGACGTATGCCGCTCGGAACTAATGAACATATGCCTTTGAATAGGACCCTAAAACCGAACATGATAACAGCACATTACAAATGAATTGCCTGACACCAATCCCGCCCTTTTATTTCCACGACAACAATATCACAGCAGAGGACATCTGTAAATAACCAAGAGGCGCAAGCTAACTTAAGAGTCAAGCGTGATCTAAAAAATTCAATTGACCTTCTGAAATTAAAAATGCAAGTACGATAAATTTCATAAAACCCAACTTCTCTACATTATACACTAGTTTTTTTGTTGTTACAAAAGCAATCTCAAATCTAAAAATTCAAAACAAAAAACAAAAAAGAGAGAAACTCAGTCCAATGGATAAAGCGCAAAGGACTGCAATCCACTCTGCAGCACTGGAAAGTTGGGATGGAACTTTAGGACCATTCAACTTCTACACGTTTATATCATCATCATCACCATCATCTTCTATTTCAGTTTCTGTCAGGAATTAACACTATCAACTTTGAACAATTGTTGGATCCAAAGTTGATAGAATCTGCGGCATTGACATACCACCTGATACAACAATCTCTGCAATACAGGGGGGCACATTACATTTATGCCAAAATGATGATTCTTGCCAGTCAGCTGTACTATTAAAATGCTGTCCTTGAAATTATTGTGCATCCAAATCCATCCAATGACCAACTTATGTTCCACAGGGTCTGTTCGGATGGAGGTTGTTGAAAGGTAAAGCATTGGACTATTGGAGAGCTTTGTTTATATTTTGATATATCTGAGATTTTATAAAAGTTGGGAGATTAACATAATTTCTGATAGTAAACATTTCTATCACATTTTTAGAAACAATCTATTTATTACGATATATACTGAGCCCTCAAACCCCTCCATCCAAACAGAACTTTGGGATACATTTGAACGGAGCCGTTTGGAGGGATTTTGAAAGGTGAGTTTTTAGATTTTGTAAAAAATTATAGAATTAACAGAATAGACGAATCATTGATATAATAACCTTCATTTTTTATTTATCATATCAGACTCAAGCTTCCAAAGTTTTTCCTTGAAACCCTCCATCCAGGTCATGGTCTGTAGAGAACATCATGACCAACCTGTTCGAATCAGGCATACTTAATCTACCCAACCACTTTGCTGTGAGGTAGAGATCCCTGATTTGAACAGCTCTGCAGTTCCTATGTAGAAAATACGTAGTACTTAAAAGGCAAAAAGAGTTTCTTTACCAATTCCTTCGCGAACTGATAAGTTTGGTCTTATAACATCTTTTGCATTGACGAGAAATATATCACCAATATATAGGTGATTTGTTGGAACATACACACAGCACAAATCTTCATCTTCTGAATAGTTCTGATTTGAAGAAACAATAATTGAGCAAATCATATTCAATTCAACCTAAATATAAATTAGTTAGGAATAACTGTTTTACGTAAATGAATGTGGCATCAGTACGTAATGTTCCGCGATGTTCATGCTTGCCGTTACAATATCAACCTTGTCTTGGGTCCAATCCAGAACAGGCCATTCCCAGAGTGGAGGAACTGTAACCAGTGTTGTGATGTGCCAGTTCTGGTACCATACTTTTTAACTAATTTTTAAAATAAAATTACACTAATATTATTCATGGAAAAGTGATGGACAAAAATGTGACTTGGTAACTTTTAGTGACTATATTTGTGTTCAAAGTTACTATGATGTAAACTTTGAACACAATTGTAGTCACTAAAAGTTACTGATTATCATTTTTATCCATGACTTTTTTATTAGTAATATTTTAGGGAAAACCCTTTTAGTTAATGCTTGAAAAAAATAGAACAAGAACCGGCAATTCAAGTATCCCTAAACCTTATATTATAGCTTTCAGTTCCCTATTTCTGGTTTACGTTGCGGTTCTGACACCATGGGTTCCAGTACCTGTTTCGGTTTCCCGAACCAGGATCATTCCCACCCTTAGATAGGACATGATTATAATAATGTTTGACTTCCAAGAAATTTCAAACTCACAATATTTTATATTATGTGAAAGAGAAAAGGAAATGATGGTTTTGGAATGTCATCAAGTAATTCATTCATGAGAAATGTGCGACATGAAGGGTATCCAACTCAAAAACTGTACTACTACAATTTTGCATGCATTTACTATACCCCAGTAACAATTATTTAATTTAGAAAAATAACCGACTAAACTCAGGGAAGATGCAATAAAGCATTTGCAAACCTGAAGAACCACATATGAAGTAATGAACCCAAATGCATATTCACCGATACGTGGATGCCTTATGATGGCCACCTCCTTAAAAGCTTGAGTGTTCTGATCTGGAATAACAAATAGATAATAGGAAACTACTTATTCACAACATAGAAAACTATTTTATGAAAATACAAGGTATAAATCAAGACTTAAACCCATGTCAGTCCCTCGACTATCCATTATATATAGATAAATATGAGAAAAAAGAAAAGAAACAATAAGATTTGTTGCCCTAATGGCCTAATGCATATGATACTAAGATTTGTTACTAAGATTTCATAATGTTACATACGAGTATGTTACTAAGATTTGTCCTTGACTATCTTTTGGACTCAAGTTGGTCTCAGGCTATGATATTTGGATGCAATTTAGCCCTCATGCATATTTTACTCTAATTAAGAAGGGTATTTTTGGACACTAAGGAAAAATTGGGTAACAAAATATGACACATTTGAGGCTAAATTGAGTCAAAATTGGGTCAAAATCCAGTGAATAGACAAACATGCCCTTCTAATTTATTAGAACAAAGTATACATGATGGCTAGATTGGATCAAAGTTTCGTAGTCAAGGACCATAATGAGTAACAGTGGGTAGTAGAGGGATTGCCCCAAAAATCAATCAATAAACCTGGAGATATGGCAGAACTAATTTGCTTTGATGCATTATAGATATGACGAACAAATGGCATTCTTTTGATGAACCATTCTCCAAGACTTAAAACAGATGCCCCCAACCAGGATGACATGAACACTCCAACCAAAAAAATGAAAGTGATTGAAGTAACAAATCCCAGACCTGTTCAAGATATACACATGTAAAAAAGTATGCTCATACCAGCATCAAACAAGAAAAATGAAAAGAATGAAAAAGGAGTTTACTTAAGAGAATGATGGATGACTCATTAATCAAACTTATTGTCTGATCTTTCCGGTGCATTATTTCTTTTCATTAGTTGCATTTCAGATGTATTAAGGACTAGTTTTTATGAATTTGGTGATCAAAATTAAATTACAGGTATGTAGAAAGAATCAATTGTGGATTGTTAGCATTTTACCCCATTCCCGGGAATTTCTCAAAATCCAGAGTGAAAAAGAGGGCCTGTGGGTGCCCCCAATTTCAATAATTGTGAAATCCGGGAATTCCATAATTTCCAAATCCAAGTATGGCCATTACACCACATTCTCGGGAATAAATGAATTACATGAATTAGAAACCAATAGAAACAAGACCTATGAGTTTCCTTTATGAGAATAGATAATCTCTAGGTCACTTGGTGGGAAAGTATGCTTACCAAAAATATTGATGCCAAGCTGCACATATATAGGAGAGAAAAATCCGTCCACAAAGTGAATGAACCACCATGTTATATAAAAGGTGACTGCTATCGGAAATAGGATAACACTGCAAATGATGATCAGTGACAATTAGCACAGAGGCCGTAGCGAGATTTGCAGAGGACGTGAGAAAGAAGTGTAAACAAAAAAGGAATTTTGTAGTATTAACGAATGGCATGACATCATACGTACAACTATGACTTTTTTTTATATCTAAAAGAAGTATCAATTATAGTTACCAGCTATTTTCTAGCATAAAAATCAAATAGTAAATGGATGCATCCCTTTAAGAGAAAAATAAAGAGGCAATTTGGTTCATGCATCATGTTTGCTTGTTTGTATGACTAAGTTTAGTGCCATTGCTACAAATTAAAGAAATAGAAAATAGTGGCACCAGGACTCGGTAGGTATCGTAGAGTATATCAGTTAGTTTTTTCCCTCTTCTGGATAACCACAAAGTACAAGCAAATATTGCTATATGCAGATTTTAATTATCCCGATTAGGAAAGACCTGCTGCTATATACCGTGAAGTATGAAACATAATAAAAAACAAAGGTCAAACATTTGCATTAATGTATAGATAAACTAATATTCTCACCATCCGGTCATGAATTTCTTTGAAGCCCAGCTCCTAACAACTTTGTAGAATGTCTGCATGGATAACATTTAGTACAACTTTAGTGAGACCTTAAACCAGTTTAATACAAGAGCAGGGAGTTGTTAAAACTTAATAATGAACCCCTAAGAGGAGAAATTTAGTGTACAGAAATTAGCCCTCCGAAGCATGTATTTGCAAACTATAACTCAAACTAAACAAAACAGCATAAAAGGAATTTACGTTACACCTGTTTGGAATCATCAAGATGTTTCATTTCTAAATTCTTACAACGGATCAACTGCAGAAAGTCTAGAAAGAACACTAGAAGACAAAACCAGCAACCAAATGAACAAATATAAAACGCTTGTTCAGCACTCATATGATAACAAACAGCACCGTACACAATAGATCGAAGTTCTAAACAATAGTAAAAATTTCCTGTTGGAATCAGAAAATACAGTTCAACCCCCCAGCAAGTAAGATACGACCAAAGTCCTATCCCTACCCCCAGTATCTGGGGAGAAACAACTCATCAAAACAAACAAAATTACCAAACAAGCTGCACATGCAAGGATAAAAGGGGAAGGGGAGGCGCTCTTTTTGGTCAATTTTGCACTCGAATAAAATTTTAATATTTATTACCAAAAAGAGAGCATTTTTACAAACAAAATATGTGCTCTACCTCACGGCCAGTGTGGGCGTGGTGAGCAGAAGCGGCGGAGGACGAAGGCTTGGATTCATGGTCGTCAACGGCGGCGGAGGAAGCCACAGGAATGAGAAGCTCCAGATCTCTTTCTCTACTGGTGTTCCCCATCATACCCGCCATCCCCGATTTGTCATCCCCCATCTACTTTTACCAACCCAACTTCAGACCCCTCTTTGTCCCAGTAGTCTACAGATTTCAACACTCTGTTCCACTCTTTTCCCTTACCTGATGTCTCCCATCTCCCTCAAAATACCTGAGTTGTGCGCTTAAACAATTACATGAATTTCAACCATGGCCATAAAAGTAACAAGAACAATAAAAAATAAGTAGGAAAAAAATGAATAACAATTTCACTTTCCAAAACTTTATATAAATAATCTAGTTTATATTAACAATTTCATTTTCCATATTTTATTTCTTTTCTTTTTTTCATCTTCTTATTATTTCATTTATATAATCTATTTATCTTTATGCTTTCCTTTTTCTCAATAGTTCTTTCTTCTTCTTCCCATTTCTACTTCTTCGATTTTTATGTATCATTATTCAATTAATTATCTTCTAAGATTATTATCCTACATTACTTGTTATTATTTTATTTATTTTTTATTTCACCTTTTCACCTTTCTAAAAAGTATTTGCTTTTTCTTTGTCCCTTTTCACTCATTCCGTTTTCGCTTGTTTTTGACATGTTAGTGAATATTGACGATTTCTTGATCTTGATTTCCTCTTATTTTCCCCCTTTTAGATAATGTCTCTCACATATACACTTCTTTGTATAAAGAGTACATGTAATTTTTCCTTTCTTACATTACCCTGTTGTATTGTTTTATTTTTCTTTAACTTTTTATTTTTCCCTAAACTTTTTATCACAAAACTTTTTCCCAGTAGTTCATAAAATTCAGGGGAAATTGTCCTAGATAGGAGTAATTGAGGTTTGGAATTCCAAAATAGGACTATTTTGTTTTTTCTTCGAAATAGGAGTTGTTAATGTCATGTATGAAAAATAATGTAATGATTGAAAAATACTTTCATTAATGAATTATAATAAATATTGTCATGTTAAATGCACTATACTGTAACTATTTGGCAGTCACGCCTACAAGATGACAATAAATACTAACATGTTAGTCTTATTTTGGGAATAAATTTTTTTTGTCATATTTTGAAATTTCAAACTCCATTTACTCCTATTTGGGAAATCTCCCTAAAATTTATGAGAGAACTTACCTAGATAAATACGATGATGCAGAAAAGGAGAAAAATTATATATATTGATGGTGGAATTAAGGTAACAAGAAGAAAGAAAAGAAGAAAAAATAAACACACACACAAAAAGTAACAAAAAGGAAAAAGAGAAAAGTGAAAAAAAAAGAAATATAATAAAAAGTAAACTCAGAAAGAGATCTAAAAAAGAGAATGATTAAAAAGAAATACAAAAGGGAAACAAAATGAAAATACGGGAAGAAAAAATGACAAAAGATATTTTCGGAAATGAAATTTTACAAAAAAACTTATAATAGTGTAAGAATTAGAATAATAAATATGGAAAAGAAATAAAAACAAATGGATGGAAAAAGGATTAAAAAGTGTCTAGAGAAAAAAACAAAGAGAAAAATTTAGGGTGAGAAAAAGAACATGAGACTGTTTTGAGCAGATTTGTTAAAGGTGTAATTATTTGGATAAGATTTCAATAGAAAAGAATAAAATTTGGTAAACTATGTCATCAACCGGTCAGGGTCCAGAAGATGAGCTGCAAAGCAGGGGTGGAGACAGGGGGAGGCTGGCGGTGGCCACGGCCCCTGCAAGAAAAAAATTGTGAGGTATATATATCTGTATAAATATTTATAAGTAGTAAAAAATATAATGAAAATTTAAGTTTTGGCCCCTGCTATATGAATTCTTTAAGTCCCGGCCCCTATAGTCTGTCAATCCTGGCTCCGCCACTGCTGCAAAGGTTGGATTATTTTGATATTACGTAAATGTGAGATTATTATGAGCAGACCAATCAAATGTAGGATTATTGATGTAAATTTTACTAAAAATATACCTTTCCTTTATTAGTTTAATTTTAGGGTGATTGAAATAGTCATATATTCGTCAATTATAAAACTTGTGATACTTGAAATTATTTTAAAAAAATTAATGGTAATACTTAATTACACATACCAATAAGGTGTATCCCCTATGGGCCACTGTATATGGGCCTATAGATTAATGAACATCTATATATATTACATAACACCCCCCTAGATGTACATTACTAAATAAAAGAGGTTTTAACATATATATTACCAAAATAGTGCGTAAGTTTACAAAAATGTGACTACCTATTCACACACTACAAATACACACGGTAGTTTTAGTAATGCATGCAGGCAGTTAGTAACCTCCCTTTAACATGTAGTCATATTTTTGTTAGTAGGTTTTAAAGTAGTAATATTTGTGTAATTTTTTCTAAATAAAAATATTACAAAAATTATTTTTCTCTTTATACGTCTGAAGATGCTACCTCGTTAAAATCCTTGTCGAGGAAAACCTAGCGGGACAAAACCTTGGTTAAGGGAAAAATAGTGTAGCGTGTATGTACTCCCCCTGTTGACTGCATCGCTTCATGACTTCTTGTATAATTTAATCCATTTTGGTCACAGACTTCTTGTAGCACCAATTGTACTATGTGTATATCTCATTAAAAACCTTGTTGGAAAAACCCTTTGGGAAAAAACCAATCAAGTAAAAGGTACATAATATATGTAAAACGATTGTTGTATCGACTGTCTCATTAAAAACCTTGAACTAAGAAAACCATGTGGGAAAAACTTAGTAAAGGAAAAGAGTAGATATTTTATTTATTATATCACCAAACACCATTCAAATCAAAAGATTCTCATGTGATGTCTCTAGGTTTACCTAGATGCTTAAAAGCCTCGCTCCAACACATTTATTTATACAATTTATTTCATAGAATAATACTACGTATATGTTTACTTTGTAAGCAAGTAGAAGGTTTATGAGTATTTGCAAATGCATTGTGTATTGTTTTCCTCATTCAACTCTTTCTGCAGGAAAAGTTGAGAAGTAGTACGAATATAACTCCTTCACAACTAGAACGGGACAAGCCCCAACTTAGTATCCAAAAACAATAACCCAAAAAGTCGAAAAGACATCCAAAATAAGTTCAATGAGAACTGTCACTATCCACAAGGTTCCATGGGATCCAAGCTGCTGAAAGTCCATCCTCAATTCCTCCATACCCCACAAGCTACATCACTTAACCCAGCAGCTAGTAGCCTAGCATCCAAAAACTCACAGGCCTTCAGCCTTTCGCACAAGGGTAATTCTATATATGCAGCCCTTCTTTTGCTAACTACAGCCTCACGTTTCATTAACGATAAATTTATTTTTTATAATTCCAATCCTGCCCTTATTTACTAAATACAGTCTCGACACGGAGTGACTTGATTTTGGAACTCCTGTGCTCCATAGCCGCCGTAGCTTCAGTCTAAATTTCCAGAACGAGGAAGATAGCTGAAGGGAAATCTTCTTTCCCACTTCATCCTCGAGACAGTATAACCAAATAATTCCTTTGCAAGAATGATCTTCTTTAATTGGTCTGAAAAAAATACGTAGTATCGTCTATCACAATTTGAGTTTGCCTACATGAAAATTTGTGCGGATTTTGATTGAAAATTGCTCTGATATTTCAAATTAAAATTACTTCATGGGTGTAAGTAGTTTAGCCAGGGGGAGAGTTACATGTATAAATGAACTGCCTGCTAATCATTATAAGCGTTTGATTAGTCTAGTTTTCCATGGTATGTGTGAGGTAGTAAACCAAACAGGACTAGGCCAAAACCGAGAGTGATGAAAACGAGAAGAAACCCCAATATGTTGTGAAGAACAAGTCAATTTGACCCCAAAACCGGCAGCCAAGTGAAGGTATCATACTATGGAAGTAAAAGTTGAAGACTTCAAACTGTTCGCACCTTGAATTAGGCCAAGCTCAGTCCTTATCTTCTTCCATAAATCATCTTTAAGGTGGAGAATATACCCACACTTCTTGCGGCAGTTCAAAGCGATGGTGTGCAACAAGAGAGTTGCGGCAGTAGAGTTTGCCGCAAGGTGTAGCAGCGAACTCCAAATAAGGGCGATTGTCTTGCTATCATAATTAAAAGGGTAATTTGTATATTTGTATTTATTTAATTTATTAATATTTAATTCTGTGGCTGTGATTAGTAAATTGGGGACTGTGAATAGAATTACCCTTCGCACAATTCAAAGACATTCGGGATTTAGGACCAGCGAAGGCCCATTATCCCGTCCATATCCATATCCTTCCGTCCAAGTACGAAGCCTAACGAGAAAAGCGTGTCACCCAACTATGAAGTCAAGCCCATCCCAGTAGCCTATCACATATCCTAGTGGGCTATGATCAACAAGAAGTTCTCGAGCTAGCCTATATTCCTCAGCCCACCATCACAACGATCAAGCGCCGCACCCAAACGTGGTAATTCAGAATTTCAGAGTTGTACAACTGTACTGTACCAACGCAACACATGTCCTCGAGATTTTGCAGACGGTTTTCCTCAACCATATGAGCATTTGACAAACGGATCTCGTCAATCGTAAATACGGGTTTTAGTTATGGATCTCCTTGACTGTGTACAAATGATGATTTGAGGTATGTAACTGAATGAATGTAACTATGTAAGCACCACTTCTTTAAACTCAAAAGAGGTCATATTAAGAGGTGGAAGTGAAAAAGAAACAATTGTAATACTCTATGACTCACAAATGTTATATTTATTTGTGTCTAACATAAGTATTTATTGAATAAAAGAAGAGAAATAGGACAAATGTCTTTATAATCACTCTACATAATTGCACTACTTTTGTTAGACCATCATTTCCCGCTCAGTGCAAAATCCATTTTAGCCGCACGATTCATTTTTCAATCTACCACTTCAGTTATTTCGTTCCATCCTCTCCAATTTCGCAATAGGTTTCTTATCTCTGCCGCAGTCGCCTTCCTTCGAACGATCGAACTGGAGTGCGCTTCTGAAAGAAGGATGCCTCAAGTTCTCCTCCTCTTCCTAGCAGCGAGGTAAACGGTCTTTCTCGATCAGGAGACGAAATTCCAAAAAATAGCAAAAAATTAAGCATATAAAAAATGGCATGAAAACCTGAAGTGAAGTTCTTTTGATCAGCAAAGAAAATTTACTTTGGCTCATACAATCATAAAAGAGCATATGAACTAATTAGAAAGCATTAGAATTACTAA